CTGATTTCAACGCCCGATTTACCAGGATGTGGTTTTCGCATTTGCGTGTATGTTTTATCAAAGTGAATCTTAAAAAAATCGATGTAGTGCAATATATATATATGGGTTGGTCTTCTTTGAACAATACTTCTTAGATTATATGTATCAATGATACAGTTAATCCTATAGCCTGAAGAAGCCACATGCCCAACGCATACATTCATTTCTTTTCATCCTTTGGGCAAATTGTCGAAACACGATTAATGACAAAATGTAACTAATTAAACCCACGGTTCGGTACTATTAATACACTAGTTTTATTTTAATAAACATCTACAATGTGTTTTTTTTATATTCCACAAAGTGATGACCAGGAGTTAGAAGTTGAATCATTAATAAAATGAAGTAGAAGTCAATCATTAATAAAAGTAGAACATTTGCTGAATAGAATGGATAGCGACGGATGTCCTTATCTGGCAGTCGTTCACGGAACGACAGATCTTATCTTGTAAATAAACGTGATACTATCACACATACTTCATTAACTTTAGGACATAAATATCTCAATTTGGATATTCTGTTAATGTCTTTTTTCCAAGTGTGATAGCTCCCAAGTAAGTTGCAGAGAGTCAGAAAGTACATTTAATTGTGTATAGATTTGAAAGTTTGGCCTTTGTTACCGTAGGTTAGGGTAATATTACTTTTACATGTATATAATTTTTGTACTTCAAATTTTTACATAAAAATACTGAGAAAAAAATCCTTCATAGATATTCTCAAGAATCAAAAAAACAGAACTGGTAATATTTTTAAGAAAGCAACCTTAGGTTGTGTGGATTCGATTTTATTCACATCTTGACTCCTTACGGGTAGGGCTTCAATGCGCAATCAAGATTTTACATAGGAATATATAGGAAAAAGAATCTACTGATGAAAAGTATGCAGATATGTTAATCTGTAAAGTAAAAATAAGACGAAGATTATTAATTATAATGCCCACTTAGTTGCCAAGGCACTGCTTTTCTTCAGACTTCCCATGTGACCTTTCCAGTTATTATTTTTTTTAACCCCATCACCTTTATTTTGAAGATCTGTCTTGTTATTGCAGATTTTAACAATGGTTGTCGCTTTTAAATAAAGAAAACATATAGTGTTCAAATTTATATGAGCGTTGCCATCTGCTGGACAGAAGACTTGAGACACATACTAAGAGGTACTGTGAGCAGTGAACTCACTAAATGATAACCCTCGCCTCCCATATGATAATAAAAGCAAAGTCCATGTTTTGCTCTAGGAGACCCGAAATAAGTGTCAGATCAAAACGGAAAATAGGAGTTACACATTGCATTATGTTATAAAGTATATGTGAAAGTATCATTAAATTTCATGCAGTGGTATAGGAGGAGATCGAATTAATAAGAGATGGATACGCTTCAATATTTAAAAAAAAAATTGCATTGTCATTGTTTTGCTATGGAACCCGAAATATGACTCTGATCAAAAAGTAACATAGGAGATGCACAATGGCACTTTGTAGCAAGGAATCCGTGGAAGTCTCATTATATTTCTTTCAGTGGTACGAGAGGAGTTGCGGATAAGAAATGGGTACCCCAAAGTGTAACAGACGGACGGACATCCCGATCACTATATACCCACCCACTTTTCAAGGGTATAGGGTATAACAAGTCACAATATCCATGATAATTGCAAACCAACATCGAAAGCGGGGACAGCAATTCTTTGATATTAAATATTCATTTCAAACTGAGGTTGAATTTTAAACTCCTGGGCTATTGTTATACCCCCCGCTTGAAAAGCGGGAGGGTATATAGTAATCGATTACATTAAAATCCGTCCGATCTAATACGTCCGTAGTCCGACTGTTTCTGGGGTCTCTCTCTCTATATATATATATATTTGATATATTTCACAGAATCTTTATTACATATTGCCATTGTGCATATTTTACTTTTTGATGTACATATTTTGGGTTTCCCATATCATTGATACTAAGCCATTTATACATATATGGGAGGCGGGGGGTATCAACTAGTGAGCCCATTGTTCACAGCACCTCTAGTTTGAGTATATTTTAATCTGCACTATATGTGAAGGATTACATTAAAATATGATTAATACTGTAGTCCGACTGTTTTGGGGGTCTCTCTCTCTCTCCATATTCCCTGATATTTCCCTATATTTATACCCCCCGCTTGAAAAGTGGGAGGGTATATGAATGAACTTGAATTTGTCCGTCTGTTACGCTTTGGGGTACCCATCTCTTATCCGCAACTCCTCTCATACCACTGAAGGAAATTTAATGAAACTTTCGCAGATTCTTAATTACATATTGCCATTGTGCACCTCCTATTTTACTTTTTGATCTGACATATCTGTTCTTGAATAGGTATTCATATATTAAACTTCGCTCCTCTTTTGTTGCCCCCTCCTGCTCCCAAGTGGACCATAGTTTAAACAAATCTTAATCTTCAATACTTAATGGTGCTTGTATATTAAGATCATAACCTGCTGTTCTTGAAAAGAATGCTTCCCTGTATAATTACGTAACTTTATTAAATTTCCATCTCTTATTGTTTCCCCTTTCATATTCCACAGGGACCATACAGTAGGGAAAGAAATTTTAAGAATAAAAAAACTTTCTCTAGAACAGCAGGAACATGGTTAGTCATTAGACACTTCTTTTAGTAGTACCTATTTATGTTTGTGTTAATCATTGCCTTATGGGTTTACATACGGTCACAATAGGGAGGCAAGAGCAAGCTTAAATACATGTATATCATTTAAATATAACCGTGTAATAGAAAATTCCTCTCAAGAATCAAGGGGAAATGAATACGTAAATTAATATGCAAGCATTTTGATGTAGAACAGATTCAAATTTGTTAAATACATGGCTTTGGGGGAAGTCTGGGGCGTAAATTAGGATTCAACTGGGATCTCTCTTTGATGATAATTGTCTCTTTTTCTTTTTCCAGAAAGGTGTGTGTTCTTCTCGCAAAGCCTTAAAGGTGTATGGGCACAGATCTGAAGTTAATATTTTCTTATAATATTACGACATACATTTTAATAGCATTTCACACATAAAATTTTTAAATATATTTTTGTGTGAAATCTATTAAAATATATGTATTGATATTATACAGAAATATTAACTTCAAATCTGTGTCCATGCACCTTTAAAGAGGCTAAATAAAAAAACACACGGGCTGGTTTATAAAAACACACATTTAACCACAAACCACGGGATTATCTTTTTATCACATTTCGTACATAAGTAACTATTTTAAAATTTCAGATAGTTTTATATGTATTTATCAAGGATATTTTACTTAATTGAATTCAGGCAAAGGCCATTGTTAAGTCACAACCGTGGATATGAAAACAACATCAACATGCTATGAGCTATACCATATGCCTAAAATAAGTTAACATGTGATTGAATGAGTTACATAAGTACATACAATTGTGTATATAGAAAATTTGAAGAAATATACTTTAAAAAGAGCAGAAGACCACAATGGCTCACACTTAACTGTACCATAGTTAAGTGTGATTTCTTTTGTTTTAAAATTGTATGGACTCGTATTTTTACATTTATGGACCCTGGTTAAGGACAGGAGTTTTTAAATCAGGACCAGTTTTCCTTACTGCATTTATATCAGCGTTTTCAAGGGCGGGAGTCCTCAGTCTCATGAACAGAACTCTGTATGTAAGTCATGTTGATAACGAAGCATCTTATACCTTGCATAGATTCAAAGAACTACGAACGATAGTATTGTTCTCCCGCCTACCTCCAAGTCAATTTTCAAAAATTAATATATTTGAATGATTTTCCATATTTATATTCATATTTACATGAATTTCCATAAAACATTACTTATTTGGGAAAACAAAGAGAGATAACCCTACAATTTAGGTAAAACTCGCGTTTTTCACTATAGAAATCAACGGAAAACAGAAAATGTTTTTAAAACATCTCCCCCCTCCCCCCGTGAAACAAAAATTCCTTTATACAGGTAATATAGACTGTCAATTCACAAATTCATACCAAAGCTTTTTGTGTTTCACGGGGGGGGGGGATATGTTTACTGACAAAAAAATGACAAAAGTTTTAATTTTTCACCAATTTCAAAGGGGTTAACAACTAAAACAGTATTTTATTAATGATAAATGTTTAATTTCATATGCTTAAAACATAAGAAAAGAGGTAAGGAACATTTATTCACATTCAAAAATATTTTGAAATACGGTGATGGTGTAAAGCCCGGTTTCAACGGAAAATATCTACCCCCCTTTTTTAAAGAGCTAGAATATAAGGGATAATTATCTATTTTACACTGGTATTAAAATTATTAATCAATTATAATTGAACAGATCTTTTCAGTCAACAAAGATTTTATTGCAAAATTGTCATTAATATTGAATTAAATAGGTGTAAAATGTGGGCGGGAATCAAGAAATTGCGTACGTAGTTCTTTCGTCATAACCCCTTGAGTATTGGCGGGACCCAAGAAAGTCAATTTTTGAATGAGAATAAAAAGAGAACATTTAATATGATAAAAATCTTTTGAATAACTTTAGTAAGTGTTCCCCGCTTGAAAAGGAGGGTATATAGTAATCAGGATGTCCGTCCGTACGTCTAGCTGTCCGTCCGTCTGTTACGTGTACATTTTTTTTACCAATCTATCCATACTTATTTGAGTCAAGAATAGAATATGACTGAATATAAAAATATGGTCTAACAAATATGCATTAAATTCATTATGGAAGTGGTCTTAAGATTTTAACCCGGTCACTTATTTCACCAAACGAAACGTCTCTACCCGGCGTACGTACAAATGTATATATAAATACAAATGTAGTACACTCGACCCCTTTCTTAACAGTTAATTAGATAACTGTCACCCCATTGCCCGATTCTCTACAACACACGTCCACTGGAGTGAAATAACTGTGTTTTACACTTGAATAAAATACATTTGATTTGTTTACACAACTATTTCTCCCATTGCTTCAGGAGTGAATCAACATGAATTGCTAATTCGACGATTAATGGGACTGTTTTACATGTGGTATCTGTAGACATAAAATCACAAGAAAACGTACTGAATGAGGTGAGTTGATATAAGATATCAGATATGATGTTATATATAAATACAACACTTTAAGCAGAAATGAATATAACCTTCTGGAGCAATTTTAATACATGTACAGGTATGTCTAATTCTGTTAAACGGACTCGATAAAAAATAACCACAATACAATTTCTTACGTAATTTAATACATTAATTGATTTGAATGTTAATATGTACAGACAGACTTCCTTAATATTTTTTCATCTTCATTTTTAATGATCTTGTTACTTCACGTATGGTGGTCTAGGAATTGTGCTTAAAAAGAAGAAAAATTACAGGAGAATGTTGGTCTCGTGTGTAAAATCCCTCGCGGAAAAAAGGATCGACGATATTTTGATATTTTGATGGATGTGTTCAGGATTAGAAATAGTTGTTAATTTTGAATTAACCCAAAATAATTACGTAAGATGTTTACCGTATATTGTATATATTTTATTTGATGGTTTTATTTTATTTCTTTATGATTTAAGAACTTCTATTTTCAAAATATATGTCCATGAGTCATAAAACATTCCCCTTTATTTAAAACAGGTATTCTTTCAGTCAATTTTCTTATAATTTCAAATGTAAAGAAAGTAATTTTTAAAAATCATTATTGTACGTTGGTTAAGTTTGTGTTGCTGATAAGATATAATATAACTGGTTTTGTCAGAGGTGAGATAAGGGATACAATTTCTATGATGATTTATTAACTTTACGATGATTGATACATGGTATGTTTATATATGTGCTATCATACTTACCTACATAGTGCTCGAATTTGTCATTCACAGGAAAATGTTACATGATGTGTAAATATATTTCAATTTTCTTATTTATTTATTTTATTTTTTAGAAAAAAAAGATATCTTAAGTATATTTTTTTTCCTTAATAGTCAAGACTTACTTTAATTATGTTATTAATTAATTAATTAGATTATCATAGATTTATTTATTCATATTTTGCAGGGTAGAAAACGAGATGTACATGTATATGATTGTACACTAATCGACGCTGATTACCACAAGGAAAAATTTAATTGATGGTGATAAATGGAAGGAAAAAAAAAATTGAAATAGCTGATGCGTGTACGTATTGCTCAGTGCTGCACACGGTTCGGTGTTCTCAAATAAGCGATGAATCACATGGGGCTAATTTGGAGTTATTTCCTACGATATAATCCTCAGACTAAATAAGAATTTTGTGTCAGTCCCGATTATTCGAGCTTAGGATGGCATCTGTGGCGAAAATTGCGTCCATTTTCATTCTCTTCTTCGTTACGTTTCTGATAGGGCTATTGCCCTTGGCAATGTTGAAACTCTTTGAGAAGAAACTAGCCTCTCAGAGCAAGCTTAAGAAATGGATTGGAGTTCTGAACTGTTTTGCAGGTGGAGTCTTCTTTGGAACAGCCATTTTGCATTTACTCCCAGAGTCGGTGGAGATGTTTGAGGAATCTGTTTCCTTTGACTATCCAATTGCTGAGGCGCTGACGGGGGTTGGGTTCTTCCTTATTCTTTTGATTGAGCATATAATTGGGACTTGCGGTTACGGGCATTCGCATCATATACATGATATTGGACATGAAAACCCAGTCCATATAGATACATATCAAGAAGCAAACGAGAAAACGAGCACGTTTGGTTTAAATGTATCAGAGAAAAAACAATTGGATAAGAATTGTGATTGTTCAGAAAATGTGAAATATGGTGCAATTACTTCGGATAACACCAAAAAGGAGGCAATAATCTCGATTCCTGGCCAAGAGGAGCCTAAAGTAGAAATAGAAATGCACGACCCAGAATTCCTGGCATTCAGGTCTGTTGTTCTTCTCATGGCGCTGTCATTCCACATGATATTTGAAGGTCTGTCCGTCGGTCTTCAGAGATCAGATCCAAATACTTGGAAACTTCTTGGAATATTAGCCATTCATAAATGCATTGTTGCATTCAGTGTCGGGCTACAGTTAGCTGAAGGTTTCAAGAAATTTCGATCCATTCTCGTTTCTTTAACATTGCTTTCGATCGTTGCTCCAATTGGTGTTGTTATTGGTTACATCGTCACGGAAACTGGAGAGGACAGTCATAGCGAGAGCATTGCTGCAGGGGTGCTCCAGAGTCTGTCCGTCGGCTCCTTCATCTACGTGACATTCTTTGAGATCTTAAATAAGGAGCTCAAGAAAGGGCGTAATTTATCAAAGGTCGTGTTCACAATCGTGGGATTTGGACTTGTAATAGGACTACAGTTCTTTAAGGACGAAGGCCACTGAGGGAGGAGAGACGTAAAACTGAAACCATCGGGGCAAATTTATATGAAGTCATTGATTTGTAAATATGTTTTTCAAACAATGCAAAACCTCTTCATACTGATATTAACAAACACTTGGTGAATACCTTATCTCACTTAATATCATGTCAGTTAATATCACTGATAATTAGTGATAAGGAGTACTCGAAATACTAATGAATATTTTTTTATGATGCAGAACAAATGTATAGTTTAAAAACTAACATGAGACTCGAAATATCTTTTGTCCAATTTCTTGTCAGTTGTACAGTGAAATATATTTTAATAACATGTTTTCATGGTATGATATATAGTACATGTAAATTTTTACTTGTCGATGTTTTATATTTATAGAAAATAAACAGAACTTGTTTAGCGTACACGTGGCTTTAGCAGCGTGACTACACTACTTTTATGATAACTACACTCGATTTTCCCATCAGTCCAATGAATAATTCCGTATGAAGTACAGATTCAATGACTTATGTCGAGATAACATTGCTTGAATAATATTTACCTGAGAATAAATTGCCCTTACCTGATGTACCAGCAATAAGGTATTTGTTAATTACAGCATTTGAAATGAGTGATAATTTGTCTTCCCTACAGCTTTGTAATTTTTTCGTTGTTGAAATTTGAATAAAATTGAACTTCTTTCAGAAATCTTTTAGAAATCACACGTCAGCTAGAGAGTTCTGAATAAAGCAGCATCAGAGGCATTGTAATAGTCAGTAGTAACCAATGGATGTAAGATTAACTTGACGTAACATCTGAAGCAAAGAATATATACATAGAGTACACTATAGAAAAGCGTAAGATGATTTTCATTACTTCCGTTTATTTTGCAATCAAAGTAATGTATTTAAATGTCCATCAATACAGTCTATGTGTTCAAAGTTTACCCTTACAAATCGGACATACCAACAGTTTGAATATTTTCCTCACTGGACACTATTAACATGATTAAGTATTAAACAATAATAGAATTATGTCTACTGTAAAGATAAATATACCTCTGTTCATAAGTCTTTCACGGATTACTGGTTGACCATAAAACCCCACTTCCATCATTACTGATTAAGTTTTAGTTCAAATTTTATTCATGACAATTTCTTACAGACCGTCTGGTATTTATCCTATAATCTAAATAAAAAAGTTTCACATTCAGTTGGCTAAATAATTATTCATACATTTGATCACTTTCAAGTGTAGCTGAGAGAGTTGGATGATCTCCATTGATTCAATTTCAATAATCCTTAATTTGTGTAAAATGAAATTCTTTCTAGTCATGTTCCCTGGTGGAAGAGTAGATCACCGAGAACCCCAATGTTTCCCATAGAAATATAATAAGAAACGTCTTTCTGATCAGCAAGTTATTACCAAATCTATCTTCAAGCATAGTGGAGTTAAGCATGTTAAATAGTAAATCCCAACGACAGGAACAGGACTAAAGTATGGGTTTCTGGGGGAAATCTCAAGAAGGACTATGAATTGACAAAAATGCTCTCATGTGTTGTAGATTCGTATTAATGAAAATCAGAGCACGGGGAGTAGAGATGCGACTATAGAAGGAGTCTACAGTTAGGGCTGTAGATATCACTAACCCCTTAAAAAATCAGAGGTGGGTTTTCGTGCCAAATAGGAGTAAGTATTCCCTATCGACGGACATACCTACCGTATGCTCTATGTCGTGATCGGGGAAAAATTCGGTATATAAATAATGGTAATGAATAGAAGTAACAATTATTAATTGATAATACGTTTTCGATGTATATCTAATGTTGAGTTGAAGGCAAGTGTTTCCTTAGTTAGAATAATCTAACTGTGTCTCGGTACAAGCCCTCACCACAGTTAGAATACCACCCATATACTCGCAATGTAGCAAAAAATTGCAGAATCGCACCGAAACGATTTTGAAGGATACAAACGGATTTGCACAGAAAATAACTCATAAATTAATCAAAACAAACCTTTTTGAGATTGCTTATGCCTTTTATGATAACTTGTTTTATTTCTTTGTTTGTCAAAATTAAACTTATCTGAGTAAAAATAATGTTTTTACGTAAAGCATGCTCTTGCGAATGGAATCAAGTGGAAGACATAAACTCAATATGCAGGTGATTAAGGCATATTGCTACAAAAGTTTTCATGGATCAAAAATTACATAGATGATGATAATCAGAATGTTCTATTGTCAAGGAGCTAATAACGTTTTTTTTTCAACGAAAAATATCTTTAAGAAGAAATAGGTGTGTACATTAAAAAAAACAATAGTTTCCCTTTATTTCAAGTCTCTTGCTTATATTACGAGTTTGCATATTTTGAAAAGAAGTAACAATTATTAATCCGATAATACGTTTTCGATGTATATCAAAAAATAATGTTTATTAAAACATTGACATAATAAAAGGCTATCTTCACTGCTGTTTGTTAGTGTTTCCTTTGTCTATAAGATTTGAATAAAGTCTGGCTTCATATGAATAAAAAATTAGGTATGCTAATTAAGGATGCAATTAGTATCTATAGGAATTCCGACATTTTTGGAAGATCAGATGTCCAAAAGCTACATAGATGATGTTGATCAGGAACTCGTGTATCTTTTTAATATCAACTTCAGAGTACTTTTGAATACTTATGAGTACAATCAGAATGTGTTTTAACCAAATGATTTTTCAAATGGTCAAAGACAAAACAGCAGCTCTATGATGTCAAAAAGCCAGAACTCTAATTTATTTATCGAGCACTGGTTGTATCAGTGTTGAAAAGTCTAAGGTTTTTGGTTTATCCAATTTGGCAAAATTCAGTGATTTTGAATTAAAAATTAACTTGATGTATTTAAGTATCCACATCTGATTTACTCAACTTTTTAGATGTATTGTTGACAAGTACTCCTGAGGTTTCTCCTTCACTGCTGTTAATAGTTTAGTGAGGTGAAATAAAAAAGGTTTGGTATCTTGCTAACAATTACTGCGTGGATCCCACTGTTTTTCCCTTTGTATGGATCCAGTTAAGTTTCTTATTTCAAATTCATTTCGATTGTTGGGAATGTTAAAAATATCTAAAACCAAACTTATGATTATGAAGGATTTCCTTTGGCAAAATTCAGTGATTTTGAATTAAAAATTAACTTGGGGCAATGGATAAAATTTTAATAGTTTAGTGACGTGAAATAAAAAAGGTTTGGTATCCATTTACAGAAATGTTAATCAAAAATATCTAAAACCAAACTTATGTTCCATTTAAGGACAATTGCTATCTGATTCGTCATTTGAGACTAGTATTAATGTATCGCATTTGGTCTCTACGTCATCTAAATGAGAGAGTGAACCAGAGTTACCTTCAAGAAGGAAGGATAAAAATATTTTTTTAAAAACCATTAAAATATTCTTACGAACTTCTATATCTACTAGTATATAAAATGTTTGTAAAAGTATGGTTTGTTTACATTTAATCATATCGCTCCCATGTATTTTATATAACAGACCATATACTGCTAAAGAAAAGAAATATCCGCGACATACTACATGTAGATATATTTCAATTAAATATGTAGATAATAAACAGTCATAAGATCAAAAGTCCATGTAAACATTAAAAATTTAAAGTAGTCCTCAAATACGGACCTAAAAAACATCAGGGAGGTGTGATCAGGTGCAAATAAACATCTGTGACATAACTCGGTATTTAACAGCTACAAATGTTCTCAATATTACAAACGTAAACACCGAGACATCACTCAGAATTTAATGATGTCATTCAGAGCCCAAAACACAGGTATTTTACATATGAAAACGTTGGACTTATCTAGGTATATGTTTAAGTATTGTTTGATTAATTTGAGATTATGTAACAAAGGTAATACATTTATTTTAGTCCAGTGTGGTATAATTTTAATTTACATGTACGAAAGTATACTTTGAATTTCGTAAAAATAATGAAATTTAATGAGACTTTACATAATGCCATTGTGCATCTGTTATTTTACTTTTTGATCAGACACGTATTCTGGGTTTCCCATAGCAAAACACTGACACTACCATTTTTCTATAATACTGAAGGTTGCCCATCTCATATCTATAACTCCTCCTATACCACTGAATAAAATGTAATGATACTTTCACATATTCTTTTCACATAATGCCACTGTGCACCTCCTATTTTCCTTTTATCTGGACTTAGCTGTTATAATAATATAGGAGGCGAGGTATCATTTAGTGACCTCAGTGCTCACGGTACCTCTAGTTTTGAATTGTATATCGTACAATTTTATATGAAACTATATGTAGTGAACCAGGGACCCAAAACCTAACACTTATTTTTACTTTGACATTTGATTGGGCAATACCAAAAAGAAATGAAACAAATAATGAAACAAAAATATTTCTTCCGTCAAGATGAAAATAACTGGTGATCAGTCTTATCCGGACTACTGGTCTTCTGTAACTGTGGATACGCTGCTCGCTTACGCCATAACTACTACAGACCCAATGTTAAAATTATATTCAGGCGAGTATTTTATGTTCTTAATAAATAAAGTAAGCTTCACCATTTATTTGGTTTCATAATCATTCATGTGTCCACTTTCAAACAACCTGAGACCGTTGAATGGTTTCCACTGTGTCATTAGATTAAGGGGCAGAATGAAACCACCTATCTTTCTGTGTTCAATAATTCAAAAATGAAAAAAAGAATTAGGTAGATTAAAAGACCAGTTTGTACTGCTCCTTGTTGAAAAACAGGTAACAACATTGGCTTTGTTTGTAAGGCTTATTGTTTAGTAACGTTGTATTTTAGAGAAACTGAGAATTAATCCTACAAGAGGTTTCGAACTTATACCCATAGCACCCTATGTAAGGAGGAAAATCTTTAAATCCATACGTCAATTTTAATTTTCATAATATTTCCAACAACGAATTAGAGTTACCATACGTATACGGGATTCCGAAACTACATATTAATCCTTACAAATAAAGATTCATAAAGGGTTCCAGAAAATGTTCTACCACTAAGCCTCTTACTATATTCCTCAAATATTAACAGTAGTGAAGAAGAATTTTTAAAGAAGTTTAGGAAATTTTGGAAAATTTGAAATCACAACATTTTACCAAAATCAACAACATAAAAACTTACGACTATTCAACTTTATATACAACCATTCCATGATAAAATTAAAGTGCAGGCCTCGTTTTTATGGAATTCATAAATATAGTTTACCTAGTCATTGATCATTTGCAAAATTATTTTGTTAAAAATCATTCTGATTGTGTCCACAAGTACTCTGAAGTTGATATTAAAAAGATGCTTTAGTTTCTGATAAACAATATCTATGTACCTTTTGGGGTCAAATCTTCCAAAAATATGTCGGAATTCGCATAGGTACCAATTGCGACCAGTTATTAGCACACCTATTTGTGTATTGATACGAAGCAGAATTTGTTTAAAATTTTATACGTTAAAAGAAGAAAACATATGCTGAAGCTTTCAACTCGACAATTAGATATACCGACGGCGTATTGTTAATAACATTCCCATTCTTATGTCGACACGATGTATTTTTAAATAATTTAATTCTGGTTGTAACGCTGTATTTGATTGGATAAAAAATTACTTTATATCGTATAAAATGGGTTGCCTACGTCAAAAACGTATCAATCCGCCTGACGTTACATTCAAATTTTGTACAAATTGAAGTCATTTTTGTTAGAACAATCATCGTTTTTCTTACATCAAATGAATGAAAATTAAATTATAAGCAATGAATTTAATAGCTACCCATTTTAGACGGTATAAACTGGGTTGGGGCTAGCTATTAAATTCATTCCTTAAATAAAAGATATAACAGAGTCTGAAAACATCTGTTTCATATTTAGATATTTTACTTGAAAAAGACGTTAATGGTAATCTAACAACAAAGCGTTATAATTAAAATAGATGACTTTAACTTTTTGATCGTCAACGTCCCTTACAGTGTACTTTTGTAGCAATATTTCTAAAACGAGGTAAGTATTAACAAATTAGTTCAAGAAAATAAACAAATAAACAGTCTTGTTTAAAGTCAGCATTTCTTAAGTTCGATGGTCGATACAATGACCGTGTCAGCAAATACAATCTTTCAATAGATCAAATGCTGACCGCCCTTTTTCAAAATTTAGATTTTATGCCGATATTTACACATTGATTTATCCATTATTTCCCGAACATGATGACAAGGAGCACATGATAGGTGTGACCGGTCGGCAGGTTGCTTACACCTCCATGGCACATGATCCCACCTCGGTCCGTGTTTAGTTTGCTCATGTTTTGTATTGCTTAGTGTACTTTTGTAATTACTGTTCGTTATCTCCTTATATTTTATTCAAAAATCCTTAATTTGTGTCAAATAAAATGTGTTTAAATATACCGATATACCACGGTAATTCGTTCTCGTCGTGATCTCTGGTGAAGGAGTAGGTCACTAAGAAGGCCCAATGTTTTCAATAAGAATATAAGAAACAAAACGCCTTAAAGTTTCAAATCAGCAAGTTATTACCAAATCTATCTGCAATGATTGTCATACAGAATAGGGTCTCCACTCAACAATTAAATCAAGATTCACATTTTAATAAAGTGCCAAACTATATATATAGATATAATAAAAAATATTAGGGATGTATTTACGAGAACATTATAATAGCAAAGAGTTGAAAATAATTGTTAGCATTTATTTCAAAACAAACTTTACTATTCAACACTAAACGAATTCTTTTAATTGATTTCTAGAGTAAGCAAACGCCGCCTTTAGAGGAAGTCGTTCGTATGCGTTTTATATCAATTCATTATGATGTCATGTCTACAATACTGGCATGGGTATCACATTACAGAAAGATAACTTAGAACATGTCACTGTACATAAAGGACTCTGACGTCAAATTGTGAATAATCTAAAAGGAATATAGCTTAAAGTACATGTACATTGAAGTTACTCTTAAAGTTAATTTTAACAAAAACATGTTTGGGGATAGGCAGTATTATCAATGTAATTCAATCATCTATTTGAAAAAAAAAGACAAATTATATAGAAATATGTTTTGTGATTTATTAGGTTACAAATAAACAAAAAGAAAAAAAAACTCAGTAGATAAAAGTACTGGTCATTGACCGGTTTCCAACTACCGTGCATTCGAGATTCAGCGCGGGGTGTTTTGAATTATCTATTCATGTATAATTGTTAAAGGACGACAGGGCGCTTTTCAGTTGCATTCGTTATGAATCTAGGCATAGTTGAAAAGAGAAAAATTTCATTAATTCTATTGATGAATCGGGTTCTTCTGGAGTATAGGGAAATATTTCCAGATATCATATTTTGATTTGCTCAATTAAAAATATACTTTGAAATATAGATAAATGTGTAATTTCGTACAAAAAATATCAAATTTTCACATACACCTTAATATAAATTATCTATATATCTCTGGGTCATCGCTCTTCGTATTTAAAACAGTATTTTGTGCAATTTAGCTCAAAGAAAAGGCAAACAGTTGTAAAGACGATAGCTCAGTGGTATGTTTTCTGTGCATGATTTGGAGGGATTTTGGTTCATTTTGCTGTTTTTTTTTTTATTTTAAAATAAACTTTTTGATTCTTTTGCAGCGAACATACTAGCAGTTCTTCCGATCTACTGAAAGTTTAATGCAATTAAATACTTTAAATTTTACTAAATACCGGCGCAGTGGATAGAGCGTCTCGGACTAAATCCTTACGTCGCGTGTTCGAATCTCCGAGTGAAAAATTCTCGAGAGGGACGTTAAACAATATACAATCAATCAACCGAATCCCATTGTAAGACATGGAGACTGGATCTTCGAGGTCCCATGTCGCAATAGGTGATGCCACGAAAAATTTTCTAGAGGGACTTTAAACAACAAAGAATGTACTAAATACCTATCATTTATAGCTGTTTATTCATTATGTGAAACGATACACATGTTATCGTAACTGTTAAGAAGGATTGATTGATTGATTGACTATTTGTTTGATTGTGTGTTGTTTAAAGAATCATTCGAGAACTTTTTCACTCATATAGAGACGTCACCATCTAACGGTGAAGAAATGCTTCAAATTTACACCTTTACTCGACACCCAGGCATTGAGCAATGAGGGATCTTGTCCCAACTCTTGTGTTTTGTAGCTCTACGTTTGAAATAAATCTCAAAATGGATACCGCTGTCATGGAAATAGAGAGAACATGACGATTTAATTTCTAGTTTATTCAGTAAAAGCCGGTCACTTCTTTTGAAACATTTCAAAAGGTTTATTCCAAACTCAATCCAAAGACTTGCTTATTGTATTTAAAAAACAGGAATAAACATCGTAAGGATCATGCTTTTACTTAATTAAAAGATAAGATCATCAATGGGTACCAACGATGTGGAATGGCACCGGATCATTGTTCCCATGGATACAGAAAACGTGGAAAGTTTTTTTCTTTTAAATCATTTCAAACTTCCCAAGATGGATTGAGTTCTATTTGTCTCAGGAATTTCTGAAATTACTGGAAACCAGGGATAGCTAAGTTCTGAAAATAAGCACAATTTCAACACATATATAGAATTACATGTACTTACCTGGTCTTGAATATGATATCGTCTATAGTTGGGAAGGGGGGGGGGGTGACTTTTGCTTTTGGACGTGTGCAATAGTAATGTTTTCAAGTCCTGTCGTTGTTTAATTTGTTTTGTCATTTTATGGAGTGGAGGGAGTATACGTGACTGCTGGGGTTTCAAACATTTCTTTATTATTTTTTATTGAATGGGTGTAATGTTATATATATATATATATATATATATATATATATATATATATATATATATATATATATATATATATGTTTGTTTTGTGGTCTTCTAGAATTACATCAACTGTTTTGTTAGATGTAGGTCTATCCACGTGAAACTGGTTTGAGTAAACAAGGCATCTGCGTACTTAGATGAACTCTTAATTGACAGGTGTCTACAGGTCAAGGCACTATCGTCTTTAAACAAAAATCTTGACTATAACTGCGTAGAGAATCAAATTCTGAGAACATTGTTATGAACACACTTTATGTCTTCTAGACATCTCTGTGGAGAGATTTTTGCCGTTTGCTCTTTCTGATATAAAAACATTTCAAGTTAAAATCCATATAGTCTATTTTCATAAGGTCCAAGTGCATTCCTATTCTGGTAAACACAAGCCAAACTCATTCTTGTCATGAGCTTTATAAGCAAAAAACCAGTCATTCAGACACCTTTTGGTGATCACATGGTACTATGGGAAGCTCATTAATCGTTCTACAGCAGTTCAGGGTGGAATCTTTTAACTCTAGGTGGGAAAATCAAAGTACATGTGTCACACATTCACCAAGGTCGATAGATATACATTCAGGAGATTAAGCGCACTATCAGTACCCTGGATATGCATGCTATTTACACCATCGAACGAAAATCCACCTGTTAACAATGAAATCCACCGCCAAAATCATATCAATATTCATTCTTTTTGCTACAACATTTTTGATTGGGATTTTACCACACGGATTATTGAACCTCCTGCAAAAGAAATTTCCAAAAGGAAATCGCTTACAGCAGTACATAGGCATTCTGAACTGTTTTGCAGGTGGTGTCTTTTTCGCTACAGCCATTTTGCATTTAGTGCCAGAATCGTCTGAATTATTAGAAGGCATGTTTACAATAGAATACCCAGTTTCTGGGGCGTTATCTGGTGCGGGATTTTTTCTTCTTTTGTTCATTGAGCATGTGATTGGAGTTTGCAGAGGTGATGCTGATCATCACTTCTCTATGGAAAACAAGGAAATTGAAGTGAGTCATATTGAGCTAACAAAAGTTACAAAAAGTAAAGATGATGGATTCACTAATGATGAGGTAGTGTTAGATAAAAGCAAAAATTTCCAAACTCCGACAGATTCAGAAAAGTTGCCAGAAAAACAAAAGAATATTGTACAAGAGAACAGTATTCTATCAAAATTAAGAGCCTTTGTTCTGCTGTTGGCTTTCTCGTTCCACATGATATTCGAAGGCCTCGCTTTGGGTTTGGAACAAACGGAATCGGGAGTGTGGAGCCTGTTGGGAATTTTGGCCCTCCACAAGTGTATCGTGTCTTTCAGTGTAGGACTCCAGCTTAGTGAGAGTTTACAGAGGGTAAAACCCGTCATTTTGTCTTTAATAGCATTCTCCGCCGTGGCGCCAGCAGGTGTCGCCATTGGTTTCCTGGTTACAGAGTACGGAGACAATGCACGCGCGCAGAAAATCGCTGCCGGGGTACTTCAGAGTCTGGCTACAGGAACGTTTTTCTATGTGACTTTCTTCGAAATCTTGCAAAAAGAATTGACAAAAGGGCATAACCTGTATAACGTGTTTTCCACTTTTCTGGGGTTTTCGGCAGTTATTGGAGTTGAATTTCAACACGATAGTGATTAGTTGCGTTTTGAAAAGATTATACAGTATACATAAATATCCATATGAACAACCTCAGTCAGCGTGTGTCAATAGAGTGTCAGATGAAATACAGTGTACTCGTTACGAAAATCGAAATCTCTAGTAAGAAATTCTTGTTGTCGATCGATGGAGCGAGTGGAGACAAAAATAAATTTCGTGTCCTGGTCCGTCCACTGATAGAAGAGATTTATATACACGAGTTTATGAATATTCATTTTCCTTTTACATTTGCAGTGGACAAAGGAAAGGGTGACTTATGGCTTCTAGGTGTGAAAAAATCAGAATCTGAGTCTGAAATGTGGATTCAATGATATTATTACTCATTCTTGAAATGAGCAGTCATGTACATGATATCTATTAAATGTTTAAAAAAAAGTATACACAGATCAAGAACTTACTTTCTTTCTGGTGATACTAGAGGTACTAGGAGCAAAGCTCACTGAATAATATCTCCGCTCCCATATGATTATAATGACAAAAGTCCCTGTTTGCTCTTGGAGACCCGAAATAAGTGTCAGATCAGAAAGTAAGGTAGGAGGTGCACAGTGGTATTATGTAATTAAAAAAATTTGTGAGGATATCATTAAATTTTATTCAGTGGTATAGGAGGAGTTGCGGATAAGAGATGGGTACCCTTCAATATTATAGAAAGAATGGCCAAGTCTATGTTTTGCTGCATAGGAAACCCAAAATATGTGTCCGATCAAAAAGTAAAATAGGAGATGCATTATATAGAACAAAGATTTTGTGAAAGTTTCATTAAATTTCATTCAGTGGTATAAGAGGAGTTGCGGATAAGAGATGGGTACCCCGAAGCGAAACAGACGGACGGACCTATAGACAGACGGACGGATATTCCGATCACTATATGTACCATCTTGTTTTTCATGAAGGGGGTATAACTAGAGGTACTGTGAACACTGAGCTCACTAAATGATACCCCTGCCTCCCATATGATTATCCTGAGAAAGTCCGTGTTTTGCTCAGGGAAACCCGAAATATAGTAAAATACGAGGTGTTCAATGGCGCTATGTAACAAAGATTCTGTGAAAATCTTATTAAATTTCATTCAGCGGTGGATATAATAGAAGAGATAGATACTCAAAGGCGAAACAGACGGATGTACAGACAGACAGACGGACGTATACATATGTTATTATGTTTATTCACCAATCAAGGGCCCACGGGGGGCATGAACAATTATTACAAAATGATAACATTGATTACAATTCTATATTAAAGATAATGTAACATGACTAGTGATTAAGTTTGACATTGAGAAGTGCATCACCACACTGGATCAAAAGCTTAAAACCATAGAATGATAAAAGAAAACACAATTAAATAAAAATGATAGATATAAGGTAAATTTAAAAAAAAGAAGAAAAAATCTTGTAGTAATGGCAGTACTCTAATATAAAACTAGTGCATCTTGAATACAAAGGGCACCAGGGGATGATACCTCTACACAGCCAGTCTGGCAAACCTGTACCCTAAGTATTGAAGATGGTCATTCCAAAAAAAAAATCATTTAAGTATTAACAGAAATAGTAATTTCAATTAATAAGTACTTAGCATACGAATAATTACTATTTCTGTTAAAACTTAAATGAACAATTATTACAAAATGATAACATTGATTACAATTCTATATTAAAGATAATGTAACATGACTAGTGATTAAGTTTGACATTGAGAAGTGCATCACCACACTGGATCAAAAGCTTAAAACCATAGAATGATAAAAGAAAACACAATTAAATAAAAATGATAGATATAAGGTATAATTCAAATATTCAATAGAAATGTATATAAAAAAGGAAAATTAAGAAAAAAAAATTATGAACTGATGATATAATTTTAAATTTGTATTCTAACATATATGACTGACAATTATATTGATAAGTGTATAAATTTGAAAAATTAATAAGAAAACCTAAATAGATTTTGGTTCTTTGGTTGAACAATTGAAAACAAAAGCAGATAAAATATCATGCAAATCGCTTTGTAGTTGCAATAAATTCTTGAGCAAGTTTAAATATTGCAATATTTTCGTTGCAAGTAAGATTATTAATTACAACCATTTTAAATAAGTTGTAAAGATAAAGGCATTGGTAATTGCAAAGTATTAAAGTTTTGCATAAGGTTCTGTCTTTGCATACAGTATTTTGGACATTTCATAAAAAAGTGATATGATGTTTCTGAACTAAACCCGCACACGTCACAACTTTTATCTTCCTTTAAAAAATGATTAAATAATTCAGCATTTAAATTACTAGCATTATTTCGCAATTGACAATGCAATATATTCATTTTACGACTTCCATAATTGTAATATTTCTTAGGTTTTATGTTTTTTGCCATTATAGCCATATGGGAGGTGGGGATATCATTTAATAAGCTCAGTTCCCAAAGTACATGTATCTCTAGCTAGTTCTCACCCCACTGGAAAAGCGGGAGGGCATATATCTAGTGATCGGGATGTCCATATGTATGCCCATCAGTTACGCTTTTGGGTACCCATCTCTTATCCGCAACTCCCTTTTACCGCTGAATGAAATTTAATGAGACTTTCACAGACTTTTTAGGTCACCTGAGTAAACTCAGGTGACCTATTGCTAGCCGTTTTCGTCCGTCGTCGTGCGTCGTGCGTCGTGCGTCGTGCGTCGTTCGTCGTGCGTTAACATTTGAACATTTTCAGCTTCTTCTCTGCAACCGCTGAACCAATTTCAACCAAATTTGGCACAAAGCATCTATTGGTGAAGGGGAACAAAAATTGTGAATTTCATGATCCCTGCCCCCCTGGGGCCTGAGGGGTGGGGCCAAAACCACTAAAATTAATGCAATCTTTAAAAATCTTCTTCTTTACTCCTGGACATCAAGCAGTCAAACTGTTTGCATGATTGTAATCAGCAATGAGTCCTCTACCAAAATTGTGAAATTCATGGCCCTGGGGTCAGGGGTTCTAGTGCTAGGGCGGGGCTAAATAAGTAGGTAGTGAAAATGCATTATTTCTTTGAAAATCTTCTTCTCTGCTCCTGGGTATTAAATAAACCAACTAAGTACATAGTTATGATGAGCAAGAGTGCCTCTACCAAAATTGTGAATTTTATGGCCCCAGGGTAAGGGGTTCTGGTGTTAGGGCGGGACTCATATTGATTATTTAGTGGAAATATATGAATTCTTTGAAAATTTTCTTCTCTGCTCCTGGGTATTAAATAAACTAACTAAGTACATAGTTATGATGAGCAAGAGTGCCTCTACCAAAATTGTGAATTTTATGGCCCCAGGGGCAGGGGTTCTTGTTTTAGGGTGGGGCTCTAATGATTATACAGTGAAATGCATGAATTCTTTGAACATCTTATCCTTTGCTCCTTGTTAATATACTAATGATCTAATTACATATTTAAGGCTAGGATTTATTTTATTTTCAGTTTTACAAACCCTCAATTCAAGGTTTTGAATTTTCAGAAAAAATAAAACAATTTTTTTTCTTTCCGATGTCAAATTTGAGTCGGGATCGAGATTTCAAATTTACGAACTCGCACTTCCGGTTTTAAGATGAAACGGCGGGTAAATAAAGATAGCTTGGTTTAGGGTAAAATTCATCGATACGAGTGCCATTCACAACGTTTCACCCGTTCAAAGGACAAATAAAATGCTGACGACTTTGTTGCACAATGACATGCTGGTGAGATAATTATGTATTCGTTTCAAAAGTATCTGTCGGTAAATTATTTTCCTCCCCAAGGTTTTAAACTGCCCGTGGTAGCTATTGCATATTGCCAGTGACATTATTTAGGTCTCTGTTATAGCTTACAGTCTAAGCATCATGTAAGGAGCCTATTAGAATAGCAAAATGTACAAATGTTAATAATTGATTTATCCAAAATTTTTTTTATTTCCTTCTCCTTCGGGACTTTTTTATTCTCATGTTCATAACTAAACCTACACATAAAAAAAATGCTGGCCTTATAATGAAGAAAGGGGCCTCTTTCAAAATAGGTAATTTCAGGGCCCCTGGGTCAGGGGTACCAGGGGGGTACTTTGACTAAAAATAAATTAATGCTTTGAAATCTGCCCTTTGATAAGCAATGGTGCCTCTTTCCAAATTTGTGAATTTCATGGCTTTTGGATTAAAACACGAAGCAAATTATAATACAATCGCTGGAAACTTGTTACATGATACTCAGGTGACCTATAAGGCCCGTGGGCCTCTTGTTTGTTATATAGTGCCAATGTGTACCTCTTATTTTACTTTTTGATCAGACAAATATTTTGGGTTTCCCAGAACAAAACATTGGCATGGCATTTTTTTTTGCTGTAATTATATTGAAAGGTACGTACCCATCTCTTATCTGCGACTCTTCATATGTCACTAAATAAAATTTAATGCCGGTATGATACTTTCACAGATTCTATATAACATAATGCCATTGTGCAACTCCTATTTTACATTTTGATCTGACACTTATTTGGGATCTCTCAAAGCAAAACATGAACTTTGCCATTACATATATAGTCATAAGGGGGGGGGGTATCATTTAGTGAGCTCAATGCTCATAGGCACTCTAGTTTTACCCCCTGCTTGAAAAGCGGGGGGGGGGGGATATAGTAATCGGGATGTCCGTCTGTCCGTCTGTATGCTTTGGGGTACCCATCTCTTCCCCGCAACTCGATCCTTTCATACCACTAAATAAAATTTGACAGAATCTTTATTATATAGTGCCATTGTGCACCTCCCATTTTACTTTTTGATTGGACACATATTTCGGGTTTTCCAGAGCAAAACAATGACACTGCCATTTTTTCTATAATATTGAAGGGTACCAACTCGTCTCTTTTCCGCAACTCCTCCTATACCACTGAATAAGTTATAGTTACACAATAGATATTAATTGGTTAATGGTAAATACACTCACAGTTTTTAATTCACGAGGGACGGAGCCCCGAGTGAATTAAAAACTGTGAGTGTATTTACCATTAACCAATTAATATCTATTGTGTAAGTTACTTGTACCAGAGGACCAATGAGAGAAAAGCTGGTTGACAGTTAGCACCGCCCACTTCATCCTGTCAAGCATGTTCCGGAGTCTGTATAAATACCTTTCTCCATCTGAAAGGATTGTATTTTGAATGGTGCGTCTGGGGTATCGACGATCAAAAAAATCGGAATGACTGATCGGGTACGTGTTGCAGCCTAGACAGAGGACTTGATTTTTGTCAGGAACAGATAAACTATTTTATTTTAGGCTGTTATTCCTTTTGAAGATAGTTTTATTTGTTTTTGTTTTGTTTTGTTTTGTTTTTGTTTTTGTTTTTTTTTTCGGGGGGGGGGGGGGGGGGTCAATAGAAAACATCGCCGATTGAACGATCAATGTACAAAAACTGCAAAATGATTTCTGACATTTTATAAAGTTTGAATGGTACTGCAAGCATAGGCGTCGGAAGCAAATTGAAAGGCGGGGGGCTAAACCAACAAAAAAAAGGAAAACCCAATTTCCAATTTTAATGCCTATATATTATGTCTATGTTTGCAAAAAAGTGCCGCCCGCCCCCCCCCCCCCTTTAACATGTTAAATTACTATTTGGAGACAAGAATAAGAATTAAGTCAGTTCGAGATAGAACGTATAAAGTTAACAGGATACACTAGTAAAATACGGAGCCAATGTCGACAAATTAATTTTAGTATTCTTGAAGTTTAAAATGTTGACTAAACTCATTTATCAGTTATTGCCACGGTTTTGGAAATAAGCATCATTTCTTTATCAGTCAAGGTCTTGTTACATGTATGGCTTGATGCCAAATTGTGGGCGTGACTTAAAAACTGTGGTTCTTCTGGCAAATACACCACAGCAGCATCAAAGTAAAATCTGAATTTACCGCCAGTCCTGTGGTACAAGTATGGCACGCCAAATTCACAAAAATGAGATAATCATAGTTTCACAATCGATAAACTAAGTTTATCGGTTGTAAACTATAGTTTACGGACTGTAAACTATAGTTAACAACGTTAATCTATATTTTACATCTGTAAACTATAGTTAACGCGATAATCTATGTTTCACAACCGTAAACTATACTTAACACCGAAAACTATCATTTGCGATTGCAAAACATAGATTATCTGATAAATACAGTTTCACGATTTGTAAACTATAGTTTACAAACCGTTAACTATAGTTAACGATCTGATAAATATAGTTTCACGATTTGTGAAACTATGATTAACAACTCTTAACTATAGTTTACGATTGTAAACTATAGTTTACAAACGTGAATCTATGTTTATCAACAAAATCTATAATTGTTAACGCTTATTACAGACAGATAAACTTAGATTATCATTCGTAAACTATAGTTAACAACCGTGAAATATAGTTTTACAGATGAAAACTATACTTAACGAATCGTTAACTATACTTAACGAATCGTTAACTATAGTTTACGGTTTGTAAACTATAGTTTACAGTCGATAAACCTAGTTTATCAAATGTGAAACTAGGTTTTTCTCATTTTTGTGAATTTGGCGTGCCATAAATAAGACGTAATGATACTTTCACAGATTTTTTATTACACAATTCCATATTGTGCACCTCCTATTTTACTTTTTGATCTGACACATATTTCGGGTCTCCAAGAGCAAAACTGGGACTTTGTCATTATAATCATATGGGAGGCGGGGGTATCATTTAGTGAGCTCGTTGCCCACAATACCTCTATAGTTTTATTTTGCTTTAAACAACAGTCTGGAATAAAAATGATCACTTTTTAGCTCACCTGAGCCGAAGGCTCAAGTGAGCTTTTCTGATCAAAATTTGTCCGTTGTCTGTCGTTGTCGTTGTTGTCGTCGTAGTCGTTGTAAACTTTTCACATTTTCATCTTCTTCTCAAGAACCACTGGGCCAATTTCAACCAAACTTGCTACAAAGTATCATTGGGTAAAGAGGATTCAAGTTTGTCCAAATGAAGGGCCACGCCCTTTTCCAAGGGGAGATAATTATGAATTAGAGAAAAATTAATTATGGCATTTTAAAAAAATCTTCTTCTCAAGAACCACTGGGCCAGTAAAGATGAAACTCATGTGGAATCATCCTCAGGTGGTGTAGTTTCAAGTTTGTTCAAATCATGACCCCCGGGGCTAGGGTGGGGCCAAAATGGCCGATAAAAGTTTTACATAGGAATATATATAGGAAAAATCTTTAAAAATCTTCATCTCAAGAACCACTGGGCCAGAAAAGATAAAACTCAAGTAAAATTTTCCTCAGGTAGTGTAGACTCAAATTTGTTCAAATCATAATCCCCGGAGCTAGGGTGGGGCCAAAATGGCAGATCAAAGTTTTACATAGGAATATATAGGAAAAATCTTTAAAAATCTTCTTCTCAAGAACAACTGGGCCAGTAAAGATGAAACTCATGTGGAATCATCCTCAGGTAGTGTAGATTCAAGTTTATTCAAATCATGACCCCCGGGACTAGGGTGGGGCCAAAATGGCCAACCCAAGTTTTAGATAGGGATATATAGGGATACCTTTTAAAATCTTCTTTTCAAGTACTTCAAAGCCATGATTAGTGATATTTATATGGAATCATCCTCAGGTTGTGTAGATTCTAGTTTGTTCAAATCATGAACCCCTGGGGGGGGGGGTTAAAATTCAAGCCCCCCCCCTCCCCCTCAGTAAACTGTTCTGATCTGATATGTGCTTTTACCTAGACGATGTGCTCAGGTGAGCGCTGTGGCCCCTGGGCCTCTTATTTAGCTTTGAATATCTTGATTTTATTTGGATACTTAATTGTGAAAGTATTTTTACACCCCTGCTCGAAAAGTGGGAGGATATAGTGATCGGGATGTCCGTCCGCTTGTACGTGTATCCGTTTGTTACGCTTGGGGGTGCCCATCTTTTATCCGCAACTCTTCTTAAAACACTGAATGAAATTTTATGAGACTTTCACAGATACATAATGCAACTGTGCATCTCCTGTTAACTTGAGTTGGTCTGCCACTTATTAATTTGGGTCTCGCAGAGCAAAACTATAATCAAATAGGGGCGGTCCGAGTATCATTTAGTGAGCTCAGTGCTCGTAGTACCTCTAGTTATATCTTAAAGTTTGTTTGCAGTCGATTTGAGGCTTTGCATCAATTTTACCTACAAGTATCACTTAACGTTTTGTAACTGCTGTTTCTCACTGGTTATTCTCTTTAGAGAAGTGGGCAGGCATGGACAAGCGAAAGTATGAGGCGCCGTTTTAATAATTTTAAGGTGTTTCTGATATCAAAAAATCATTTTGTGATATCAGAAAATATATTTTTTGATATCATTAATTAAGCGAGATTTTTTGATATCAAAAATTCGAATTCTTGATATCAAAAAATATCAGTCATTTTCTGATATCAAACATTCAAATTTCTGATATCAAGAAATCATTTTATGATATCTAAAAGCCTTCTTATATCAGAAAATGATTTTTTTAATATCAGAAATTCAAATTGGTTTCTTGATATCACAAAACATATTTTTGATATCAGAAAATAAAATAAAATGGCGACGAATCTTCACATAAATAATGATCGAATACTCCCTTGATCTCTAGAAAATCCCGAACTTCAGTGCCAGATTAGCTTTCTACTAAAATTTGTTGATTTCAGATTATAAGAATATTTTTTAATGAAAGAATTTAACAAGTGTTCTAGATATTTTTGGTCATACTTATTTGCATGGAATTCAAATGCATTACTTTTTGGGATAAATCTGAGTAAATAATCTAGGGTTTGCTGTGTCGGGCTTAGACTGAGAATTTCTCTGTAACCCCTATCAACAGCAGCCATTACCTTCTACAATTGCATATTTGTGTAAAATGAGGTTACATCACAACTGGCCAGCAAGTACTCGTTGTGTGAAGTTTATTCTTCAAGGTGAAGTCTGCGTTATCCGTAAGGAATATGCTAAAGTTATGTGTGCACAATAAATGATTAAAAATATAGTCAATAGTGCAAAAGAACAACTGCATTCTAATTTCAAGACATGTCTTAAACTTATTAGAACCCAACCAAGTTCACAACAAATTTGTGTGGCGGGAAGACGAATGTTCATCACGGGGAGCATTCATTAAGTCGATGGTAATTTTACTTGGTTCTTCTTTTCCGATATCAAAAAATCGATTTTGTGATATCAGAAAATACTAATTATTTTTTTATATCAAAATTTTATCTCCTGATATCAAAAAACAGAATTTTTGATATCAAAAAATGATTTTTTGATACCAAGAAATCGATTTCTTGATGTCAGAAAATACAAATTATTATACGATATCGAGAATTTGAATTCTTGATAACAAAAAATTAAATTCTTGATATCAAGAATTCTTGTGTGTGTGTGGTTTTTTTTTTTTTTTGATATCACAAAATAATTTTCTGATATCAAAAATTCGAATTTTTGATATCAAAAAATGATTTTGTGATTATCAAAAATTCGAATTTCTGATATCAGAAAATAATTTTTTATATCAGAAATTCGAATTTTTGGTATCAGAAAATCATTTTCTGATATCAAAAAAATCTATTTTTTGATATCAAAAAATATTTTTTGATACCAAGAATTCGAATTGTTGATATCAATAATTTCTTTTTTGATATCAGAAAATCCCTTAAAAATATTAAAACGGCGCCTCATACGAAAGCCTGTCCACATCTCTAAAGAGAATACTCACTGGTCAATGTAAACATTAAGGCCACTTTAAGTAGTCAAAAAATGAATTAATGTTGGTCAGTTGAAGTCTTCTGTAACATGTGTTTCTTGTTACAAATGAACACAGTCACTGGGGAAAAGTCTGCAATGTGTTATACTGTATTTCTCACCAATCACTGTAATAAAAAAAAATCCGGAAGTTTTTAAGTCAAGTGATATAGGTTTTTTCTCTTTCCTTCCCGGAAGTGGATAAATTGCGGGAAGATATTATCGTTATGAAAACATAAACAAATTTATTTTAGAAAAATGTACTCGTAAGCTTGACAAATACTTTATTCGATTTTTGTGTCTTAAAGAATTGACACAGATTTATTTTTTTATGGAAAAGTGTCTATGAATAAGCTACTGATGATTATTACTTATCGAATTTGTTCTGGCAACAATTAAAAATTCCAGTCATGGCTGTGTCACTTGATGAGGAAAAGTGGATACAAGAAGAAATTGAAAAGCATAAAATTCAGATAAAAGCAGGTATAGTCACACTATTTAGATATACATATTTCCCGGATTTGATCATGCCCCCATCTTACAATTATTTCTTTAACAAGTAAAACAGGTCCAGGAAAATAACTATATTTAGCTATATTTATGGCACGCCAAATTCACAAAAATGAGATAAACCTAGTTTCACAATTGATAAACTAGGTTAATCGACTGTAAACTATAGTTTACAAACCGTAAACTATAGTTAACGATTCGTTAAGTATAGTTTTATCTTTAAATCTATATTTAACGGTGTTAACTATAGTTTACGAATGATAATCTAAGTTTATCTGTCGTGTAATAAGCGTTAACAATAGATTTTGTTGATAAACATATATTCACGTTTGTAAACTATAGTTTACAATCGTAAACTATAGTTAAGAGTTGTTAATCATAGTTTCACAAATCGTGAAACTATATTTATCAGATCGTTAACTATAGTTAACGGTTTGTAAACTATAGTTTACAAATCGTGAAACTGTATTTAGCAGATAATCTATGTTTTGCAGTCGCAAATGATAGTTTTCGGTGTCAAGTATAGTTTACGATTGTGAAACATAGATTATCGCGTTAATTATGGTTTACAGATGTGAAATATAGATTAAGGTTGTTAACTATAGTTTACGGTTTGTAAACTATAGTTTACAACCGATAAACCTAGTTTATCGATTGTGAAACTATGATTATCTCATTTTTGTGAATTTGGCATGCCATATATATTAGCCTACATAGTTTAATTTACCTATATAGCTTTATTTACCTATATAATATAGCTTTAAATTATTTAGCTATTTCAGAGTAAATTTCTGTTTTATGAAAAGCAGACAAAAAGTCGCATAATGAGGCAGTATTAGTTTTCAACTTTAAAATGGACTGAAAACAATTCACCAAAAACCCACTTCTAAAAATGTCTCTCTCCTTTTGTGCAACTGCAATCAAAGATCTAAAAGTTTTGGGGCTATGTATAACAGTTAGGCTGTGATTAAGCAGCTACTTTAACAAAGAAAAGCAGTTTTGGTCAACAAGATAACTGATTGGTAATAATTCAACAAAATGCAAGGCAATCACACTTAGTAATGCCTCATCGCACTTCCAGTGAGGGACAGCTATCCAAACAATAGAGATGCATTTTTTTTGGAAAAAAGTGTTTAAAAGAGGCAATGTTTTTACTGTCTATGCCCTAGGTAAAATAATAAGGTTGTTTTTATCAAACCTTTTTTGAAAAAATATCAGCCATAATTTTCATGCGACTTTGTGTCTGCTTTTATAAAACAGAAACTTATTCTAAAATAGCTAAATAAAGCTATATTATATAGGTAAATAAAGCTATATAGGTAAATTAAGCTATATACCTAAATATAGTGATTTTCCTGGACCTGTAAAAATACAGGTCAAGCAAAATCTCTTGATTAAGCTAGGACCTATTTATAGTTAAACTTGCTTTAGTTATGTATAGCTTTATTAAGCTATTAAAAATAACTTTATAAAGTTATTTATATGCAGTTTTCCACAAGAATGTTTTTTCTAAGAAATAAAAAGCCACAAGCATTTGTTCATGAATATGTAAATTCACTTGTTATAGCATCTGTGGAGGTTGGTGATTTATCAGAGAAAAATCTGAATGACAAGTATGTATATATATATTTATATTCTAATTGATTTTTCTCTATTCTATCATTTTAAAGTTACAACTGAACTAAATTTTACTTTTATACAGTACTTATTGAAATAAATGAAATTATCTTTTGATGTTGGATTGTTCTCACATCAATGAAGCCTATATGAATACAAATAATTAATTACATATATTTTAATTGTTTAGGCTATCTTTAGAGAATTATTTGGTTGCCCTCTCCCAACCGACCAGTGATGGATCCAGGAATCTTGATAGAAGTATGGGTAGGGACCCACAGTCTCAAAAAAAATGATTTATTAAATCTTGTGTGTTTTGGACACAAAAAGGGCCCCTCCCCCCTTCTCTAAATCCGCCAGTGCTGACTTACTAAAATTTTCCCAGATCAGAACTTATTTTTACATTTCAGGACACAATATTCCTCTTGTCCGGTCAACAATTATTTAAAGTTTTCTGGAAAAAAGATTTTCCCACTACCTACCAACCCAATAATTTTACCCTTATTCGGGAGAGGAAAACCAAACATTATTTTACTAAAGATAGCCTTATCAATAAGTTTACCACAGAAAATTTAACATGATGCTACATTAATGATTAACACTCAGTGAAGATTTTTTTTTTAATTGAAATCTGAAGATTCCCCATCATTTACATATACTTTTGTGAGTTGATTTCCTTTTATTATGTTATATCATTTTAACTTCTATTAGGGTGTCTGAGAAACTTGATGATTTGTTTGAACAGACCATGTTCAGGGAAAGGATAAATCTATTCAATAAGAGGTATTTACTGATAAATTAATTTTAATCAAACTGGCATATAGACAGTGTCTTCCTCACTCAAAACTATCATATTAAAGGTGTTTTAGCATCCCTGAAACTAAAGAAAGTGTACAACTTTGCAGTAACTGTTCAATTCTTTTACCAATTTCATTCCACAAATTCTTCAGTCTTGAATTCAGGAGCATTCTGATATAAAGCATTTCGTTTTGAATGAGACAATCATAAAAGATGAAGTAGATTATAATTTAGTACACCTTCCTTAAGCTTAATATATCCACGTAATGTGATTTGAAGGTTAGAGAGGAGTGAGGTGATGGTTGCTGAGTTGTTCCAGCACCCAGAGATTGGAGAGGGAGACGCCCCTCACAAAACACCTGAGCATGAGTATGTATTGCACGTTCTTGCTCTTTAAAAAAAATTTAAGAATTAATGTTCATGTACTGCTAAGTGATAGCACACGTTTACTTACATGCTGAATACAGGTTTAAAAAAAAAAATTCAAAATTGATTGATTCCTAGGTCACCTATTTCAGTTAGGTATTCTATTGCAATCATACTCATATTTTGTCCATATGTTGTGATTTTTTTTTCCATTTTCAATTTTTCCTTAATTACTGAGTCAATTTAATACAAACTTGAACCAAAGCGTACATGTAGTGCACTGGACTGATGAAAAAAGCAAAAAGCTGGAGGAGGGGGGGGGGGGGGGTTTCAAAGATATTACATTGAAGAGTCTTATCCATTCTTGAATGATATTTATATCATATATCAAAAGATTGATAAGAATTACAAGAATAGCAAAGTTTCAAAAAACTCAACTGCATTTGACCCCTCACCCTGAGGACAAGAATTACACCAAAAAGGGGGTGGCTTGTAAATTTGTTAAGTTTTTTTTTTTATATAAGAAAAATGATTGTAAACTATGGATGTTTTTGTCACACATGTTTATTATTTTTGTATTGATAAATGCATCTTTTCTCTAGAGTTGCACCTTTTATATTTAGTTGTTCCTTTTCTTTGTACAATAGGTATTTGGAGAACCTTATGGAGCGCCAGTGCTGTTTGGTGTCAGATATCATGAGAACACTCAAGGTTTGTTACCTCACCTGTCTGGTGTCAGATATCATGGGAACACTCAAGGTTTGTTACCTCACCTGTCTGGTGTCAGATATCATGAGAACACTCAAGGTTTGTTACCTCACCTGTCTGGTGTCAGATATCATGAGAACACTCAAGGTTTGTTACCTCACCTGTCTGGTGTCAGATATCATGAGAACACTCAAGGTTTGTTACCTCACCTGTCTGGTGTCAGATATCATGAGAACACTCAAGGTTTGTTACCTCACCTGTCTGGTGTCAGATATCATGGGAACACTCAAGGTTTGTTACCTCACCTGTCTGGTGTCAGATATCATGAGAACAGTCAAGGTTTGTTATCTCACCTGTCTGGTGTCAGATATCATGAGAACACTCAAGGTTTGTTATCTCACCTGTCTGATGTCAGATATCATGAGAACACTCAAGGTTTGTTACCTCACCTGTCTGGTGTCAGATATGAGAACACTCAAGGTTTGTTACCTCACCTGTCTGGTGTCAGATATCATGGGAACAGTCAAGGTTTGTTATCTCACCTGTCTGGTGTCAGATATCATGGGAACACTCAAGGTTTGTTATCTCACCTGTCTGATGTCAGATATCATGAGAACACTCAAGGTTTGTTACCTCACCTGTCTGATGTCAGATATCATGGGAACACTCAAGGTTTGTTACCTCACCTGTCTGGTGTCAGATATCATGAGAACACTCAAGGTTTGTTATCTCACCTATCTGATGTCAGATATGAGAACACTCAAGGTTTGTTACCTCACCTGTCTGGTGTCAGATATCATGAGAACACTCAAGGTTTGTTACCTCACCTGTCTGATGTCAGATATCATGAGAACACTCAAGGTTTGTTACCTCACCTGTCTGGTGTCAGATATCATGGGAACAGTCAAGGTTTGTTATCTCACCTGTCTGGTGTCAGATATCATGGGAACACTCAAGGTTTGTTATCTCACCTGTCTGGTGTCAGATATGAGATAGGGCTGAAACGATATGCGCCCTCCACGATACGATACGTATTGCAATTCTTGTGTCACAATTCAATTTTTTCAATACGATACAATTTAAGAACGAAACTATTCATAAGGTTAAAGAAAACGTATTCAGATTTAAAAAAAACAAGAGTAAAAAGTGGTGATACAATAGAAATATACTACCAGGGGTATGCAATCTAAAAATTCAAGTACTAGCCCATGGGCTAGTGGCAGCAATAAAGTTACTAGCCCCAAGTAAAAAGTTATTAGCCCAAATATAGGGACAAAAATTAAAATAAAACAAATGTTGAAAAAAAAATTATCATTGAAAAAGTCAGGGTACTAGGTCAATCTTTTGAAAATTAAAATTTTATTCTCACTAAAAAATTAAATCATATAAAATTAATGATTATGACAGAAAATAAAAATGAATTTAAAAAAAATATCTGAAGATCTTTCCTTTTCTGATTATTTTGCACTAGCTCATTTAGAATGAAAATAAATTCATTTTGTTTTCATATTAAATCCTTAAATACACTAGAAATATATTTCACGTGAATCACACTGATCTTTCAGTTGATTGAGTGATCGTAAATAATTTACACGCATTCTCAATTTATAGTACCAATTCGATCTTGGGAAAAGTCAAAAAATTTAGTGAACTGAAATTAACACTTTTATACGTCATTTGAAACATGAAAGTGTATAGTTATTAAAAATCGCAATTTGATTTACATACTTCATGCTTTGTTTTGTTGGCCTCCTTCGAAATAAAAGCGGTTGGAGGGCAACTTTTTAAGCAAGATATTTACGTGATGTTGAATAGCCATATTTGGAAACGAATGAATTTTTTTAAAATACAAAATTGATATAATACACATCAAATTTTGTTAACTATAAACATTTATGAAACCGTTTAAGCACATTTGTAAAAGTGGTGTAGAATCTTTGATTCAGTTATTAGTAAAAATCAAACGGACATAATTTTCAATTAAAAGAAATTGTTTTCTTTTTATTTTAACAAGTTTTATCACATCCGATGATAAGCTTAATAATGACAATATTCCCTAAAATGCTACATTAATTGATTCTTTATTAATCTGCTCAGAGAAACGCACATTATTTAGAATATAAAAAGCTTAAATATTTCGCCATTACCTGATTACGAAGTGTTTGTTAAATATCACGTAAATATCGCACATAGATATCATACAAAAATAAAAGTATATTCGGGGAAAAAATGATTATATAATTTCAAATTATTGAATTTTATGAATTTTCTTATCTATTTATACGCTCTTTACAAAGGGTTGAATTGAAAATTCAAGTCATGATTTATCTATAGAGGACTCATGTAATTCATACCCCCCCTTCCACCATTTAATCTGTTGATTATTTCAAAGGCAGCCACGTAGCATCGTTTTTTAAAGTGTGTGTGTGTGGGGGGGGGGGGGGGGGGGGGGGCAGCCAGAGAATTTTTTTACTTACCTGAAAAGTTGACAAGGCAAAAAAAGGGGGGTGAGAAAACTTGCACAAAGTCGAAAATCCTAGAGGGGGATGGGAGGCGAACTTTTTTCAATGCCAACTACTTTCAGTACCAATTATTACACTACATTTTCCGTACATCACTATTAGTAGGGGTGGGGGGTAATAAGCCTTTCACTGAACATTTACTATAGTTGAAGTAAGGTTGGAGAAAAAAGTGGGGGGGGGGGGCTGCTCTCCCCCCCACCCACTGTTGCTACATGTCTGAAATGTTTAATTGTTTGTGAAAACTTTATCGTCAAATCTCACAAATTAAACAAAGATCGCCCACCACCCTTAAAAGGTTTGTCAATAATTAAGTTGCATATCACATGTGCTCTATAGAGCAATATACATTCTATGTTCATATAACGTAAATTGAATTTTCAGTACCATTAAAGCATAGATGCATACGTTATATGTCTAAGCAATTCCATTGGAATATTAGGTGCACAATTTTATACATGTTAATATTTTTATTTCTTGCAAAGCAACAAAAATGGAAATGGATTCAATTTGAACCAGTTTCTTGACACCCAACACCCTCTTTTTTAACCCGATGTAGAACACCCCCCCCACCCCCACTGCATGCAACGCAGCGTCTATTTTCTGGAATTATATTTCCTACAAAAATGATTTTTTTTTCCCTTCAAAATGTTAAGCTTGGTATACAATTCAGGTGTATATAACCATTTTTTAAGTTGACGATACACTATCATTTCAAATAAACAGCAAAAAACAGACTTGAAGAAAGTTTTGTTTCAGATTTACGTTCCGAATGATAACGTGCATTACACTTGAAACTATATATATGCAATATTAACCAATTGCTCAAAATGGAAAGATTCAATCATTAAACCACAATTCTACTTGTGAATAATATTATGTCACTTCAATTTTCAAATCACACGGATGCACAAGATATTGAGTGAAAAATGTTCTCCTTTCCATGTGCACTTCAATTTGCATTTCTACACTCTTGTTACAGAAAAAAATGACATTTTAAGAAAGAGTGTATATTTCTTCATGTTCTTAGTATTTACATCTTAAAGATTCACTCGCAAATCTGTTCAAACAGCTTTGGAAATTAATACTTATTTACTTTAAAACATGGTAACGTAAATATGGGTAACGTAAATATCGGTAACGTAAATATCTTTCTGAGATTTATCGTAACTTTTAATGCCATTGTTCAATTATTCCACTGTTAATTAAAGGCATATTCTAGTGCTTGAGTGTAAGGGAATTTGACCCATAGGGAACAGTGTAGTTCTCTTACTTAATTTGTGAATAAATACTAACACGTAAATATCGTTGAATTTTTTAACCATTGGACTTATAAGAAAAGGGGGGCTATTGTTCATAAATACAGATAAAGAGTGTCCTTTTTACCATTCCATGCAATTGAAGAGGTGTTCATGATGTTAAAAAGTTACAACTTAATCCTATTGGGTCAGTTCAGCAATCCTTCAAGTCCTTTTGAATTTCGAAATAGAAAAGGAATAATTTTGCGGCGACATCAAAATTTTATAATATATTACAATTTTTTAAAATTTGTGACACGCATATGTGTGAAGGGTGTGATATTCAGAAAATATAACTCAAATGTAGGACAATCTTACTAAGGAAAGATATGATAATGATTTAAAACTTCTTTTTGGTTTAAAATAAAAACTACACGATGATCGGCGACAGTAACGTAAATATCGATTTCTGCTATAAAATGTGATTTTCTCCTAAGACAATCATTCAAACTACAACAAACAATTGTTGCATTTTAATCAACAACCAACAATGGTTCATATGAGTGGTAGAAAATAAAATTTATTTGAAATATTATATTACTTAAAACGCGGTACATTATTTAAAGCGAATTGAGACTATAAATTGAGAATGCGTGTTTAATGAGATATCTGCTTGTATTTACAATAAACGGAGGAAATTCGGATTAGGAAAAAAACGATCGTTTTTGGAAGTAAATAAGTCAGGAAGTACTGCAAGATGGAGAAAATTATGGAGATTTATTGACTGTAGGAGCATGCTGCCTGGAAAATATTCACTGCCACTGGTTGGGAATTTGATAGCAAGAAATGAGTAAAATACCGGTTGTACTTTATGTATTACATGCGTAGTTATAATTTTAATTTTTGTTAATTGCACATCTCTGATACTTGTGGTTCTGTTGATTAAGAACACTTTATTCGTATAAATAATAGCAGAGGCAGCCTACTCTGCAACTTTACCGTCCCAATTTTCTCCCTCGTGTGTGTCAAACTGTTAAAAGAAGGTCGAACCCGATCTATTTCAAAGAGTTAACCAAACCCGATTATAAAAAAACATCGAACCGAAAATCGAGATGGTGAATCGAAAATTGAACCGAGCACTTATATCGAACAATATCGATATTTCGGTGAATCGTTTCAGCCCTAATATGAGAACACTCAAGGTTTGTTATCTCACCTGTCTGATGTCAGATATCATGAGAACACTCAAGGTTTGTTACCTCACCTGTCTGGTGTCAGATATCATGGGAACAGTCAAGGTTTGTTATCTCACCTGTCTGGTGTCAGATATCATGGGAACACTCAAGGTTTGTTATCTCACCTGTCTGGTGTCAGATATGAGAACACTCAAGGTTTGTTATCTCCCCTGTCTGGTGTCAGATATCATGAGAACACTCAAGGTTTGTTACCTGAACTTAAGGGTAGTAAGCTTTTCTGATCACCTGGTGACTGTTACCTCTAACTTAACACAACCCATACTTGTGGAAAGGTGATTCAAGTTTGTCATCCCATCTTGAATGGAGAGGTATCAAGAAAAGACAAAGATAGGACCGGTTTCTTAAAAATCTTCCTCTCAAGAAATTAAATGAAAGCTTTCTGACAAATTTCAGTCTAGTACAACCAGGGAGTGGGTTGGGGCCTTACTACGGGATCAAAGTTTTACAAGGAATATATATAAAAAATATTTAAGAAAAAAGCTTAGGCCATGTTTAAAAGTCATCAAGACCTGTTTACTCTTACGATTTCGTCGTATTTTGTACGGATTTTTGGTCTAAAATATGTCTTACATTTTGTTATTACGAAAATACGGAAATTGGAAATTCGTTCCTTTGGAATTAAACAGTTAGCTTTCTTTATGATCTGTTTTGGTTTCACGCTTTTTAATGGCTAAAAAGAGAAATATTTCAAACACATAAGTGATCTCAGGTTGCCAAAGCAATGTGGTATTATAAAATGACACATAATATGTTGTTAAACCTTGTTTTTGTAATCGGAAAAGCAGTTGTTCTCTATTAATATTTGTAATATCGATGGAAAGTGAAATATTACTGGCAAATGCCAAATCTCACAGACAAATGTAATCAAGAATACTGAGAGGCAACGATATGGGTAAACAGGTCTGTATAAGTGAAAATTTTAGCAAAATAGAAAAAAGAACAGAATTAAAATGAAAATTTTGACCTTTTGGGTCAAAATCTTATGTCAAGAGGTCAAATTTGTTGGTACCCCTCAAAAAAGGTCTTGTCACAATAAATGTACCTGATAAATATGAAAGCCATAGCCTCACCCACCATTATGGACAAGGTTAATTTTTTTGCAGACAAACAGTTTGATGAATATTGCACAAACTTTAGCTTTTCAGTGATCTTAAAACAAAACTTAATTGATAGCATTTAGAATATGTCCACAATCCTTCTGCTATATTATTTCTTATATCTGTACAGGAATGTAGAAAATACCAGGAAGAATTAGATGCGGTGAAAAAAGAAAACAGAGGTACACTTTCTATGTATTGGTATATTTTATCAAACTGCTGCAAACTTTTTCAACTTTTGTTTTTGATTAAGGTACTCCGATCCTCATGTTCTGAAAATCAAGCATTGACTAATTGAAAATGCTCAAAAAAATGTCTCTGAATTTTCAGTGTTTACCCATAATAATTCTTCTAACTTCATCTTTCAAGTTAATCATATTATATAGAGAAAATAAGTAAATCTCAAATATATTTTCAGATATAAAAACACCTGCTATGCCTTTTCAAATTCAAATTTGATTAAATGACAAATTTTAAAAATAAAAATCATAGGTATCTAGGCTTTTGAAGAAATTCCACAATTTTTAGCTCACCTCAACGAAGTTGGGGGAGCTTATGTAATACCCTCGGCGTCCCCGTCGGCGTCGGCGTCGGTGTCGGCGTCCCAGGTTAAGTTTTTTGGAGCAGTTTTCTTTTAAAGTACTTCTGTGTCCTATATTGATTAGACATGCATGGAAGATGCTTCTAGTGTGTTCCATTGTACCAGTCAAAGTTTCAGATGCTGCAATTTCAGCAAAGGAATGACCAGGTTAAGGTTTTTGGAGCAGGTTAACATTTTTGGTGCAGTTTTTGGTGTTGGTGTCATTTCCAAGGAACTATAAGCCCTATGTTGACCAAACTTGCATGGATGATACATCTAAGGATGTACACTACCAGGTTTGATTCGGATGCTGAATCTGACCTACATTTTCCGGTTGAGTGAACAGGTGAATGTTTTTGGTGCAGGTCTCATTTTTAAGTAACTATAAGTCCTATGTTGACCAAACTTGCATGGATGATACATCTAAGGATGCATACTATTAGGCTTGCTTTGGATGCTGAATCTGACCTACATTTTCTAGTTGAGTGAACAGGTGAATGTTTTTGGTGCAGGTTTCATTTCCAAGTAACTAAAAGCCCTATGTTGACCAAACTTGCATGGATGATACATCTAAGGATGTACACTACTGGGTTTGATTCGGATGCTGAATCTGACCTACATTTTCTGGTTGAGTGAACAGGTGAATGTTTTTGGTGCAGGTCTCATTTCCAAGTAACTATGAGCACTATAATGACCAAACTTAAATGGATAATACATCTAAGGACGCATACTACCAGGCTTGCTTTGGATGCTGAATCTGACCTACATTTTCCAGTTGAGTGAACAGAAAGTTTTAGGTGCAGTTTTCATTTCCAAGATACTTTGAGCCCTATTATGATCAAAGTTGCAGGTTTGATACATCTTAGGATGCATACTTCCAGGCTTGCTTCGAATGCTGAATCTGGCCTACATTTTCCGGTTGAGTGAACAGGTTAAAGTTTTAGGTGCAGTTTTCATTTCCAAGATACTTTGAGCCCTATTATGACCAAACTTGCATGGATGGTACATCTAAGGATGCATACTACCAGACTTACTTCGGATGCTGAATCTGACCTACATTTTACGGTTGAGTGAACAGGTTTAGGTTTTTGGTGCAGATTTCATTTCCAAGTAACTATGCGCCCTATAATGAGCAAACTTTCATGGACGATTCATCTTAGGATGCACACTAATGGACTTGCTTCGGATGCTGAATTAGACATACATTTTTCAGATAATGGACCAGGTAAAAGTTATGGTTACAGGTCTATTACCAAAAAACTATAAGGCTTATATAACATTGTATAAACCAAACTTGCACAAATGATGCATCAAGGGATGAAAACTCTCAAATTTGCTTCAGATGCTGGATTTAATTACATTTTCATGAAAAAGAACTAGTTTGAAGTTTTGATATAGCTCTATTCCAAAGTATCAGATCAAAATTGCATAAATATTTTCATTTTGGGATGTTCACTTCTTTTTGGTTAATTGTGTGACTTTGCCTTACTTAAAGACAACATTCGTTGAGGTGAGCTCTGTAATCTCTGATTACCTATGTTTATACATATAATGTACTTTAATTTCTTTTATTTACATATAAAACACTTCTAATTTCATATCATGTAAATAAACACTGGTATATATGTTAGATTAAAATGAACATCAATTTCTTGATATATGTAATTTTAAAATGCTTTTACGGGGTAAAAACTCCGACTTTTAATTAGACCTTTCTGAGAATTCAAAGAACCTTGAAGCACATTGAGAGGTATATAATGAAAATTGTTGCATGAAAAGATTTAATTTTCAAGCTTTGTTTTGAAACTTTTTGAATTAAATTATAAATTAAAGAGTTGTCCTTCCTAGCTGAGGATCAGAGTCCCTTAAAAGATGACTAATCTTATTTATTTTATTTAGACATACAGGTAGAAAACAGACAACAACTAAAAGAACTGAAAGAGAAACAGGAGAGAAGGAGAAAGACACAAGACCAGGAAACCCAGGGGTAAAATCAATACATTCTCTAGCTAACCAAGGGGTAAAATTAATATAGTCTCTAGCTAATCCAGGGGTAAAATCAATACAGTGTCTAGCTAACCCAGGGGTAAAATCAATACAGTCTCTAGCTAACCCAGGGGTAAAATTAATATAGTCTCCAGCTAACCCAGAGGTAAAATTAATATAGTCTCTAGCTAACCCAGGGGTAAAATAAATATAGTCTCTAGCTAACCCAGAGGTAAAATTAATAAAGTCTCTAGCTAACCCAGGGGTAAAATCAATACAGTCTCTAGCTAACCCAGGGGTAAAATGAATACAGTGTCTGGCTTACCCAGGGGTAAAATCAATACTGTCTCTAGTTAACCCAAGGGTTAAAAAAAAATCTTTCAGTTTGAGAACAAGGATATTGAGAACAATATGTGATAAATTGCTGGAGCTTTAGTATAAATGAAATTTTTACTGAAAGTTGTAGGTGCAAGAGATATGAATTTCACTCCAAGTCATTCTTTGTACGGTGGCAGTACCTATCGTGCTAGGCTAGGCTATTTGTAGATTCATTGTAGATCCATGGTAAGTTACACATATGTCCATTACATGTACTAGGTAGGCATACCTAGGATAATATAAGAAAGCACTATAGAAAGTGTTCAAGGAATCTTGTAACAACAATCTTACTTTTATTTTAAAATAAAAGTTTTTCTGGTATAATTTTCTTCAATATGAACAATGGATATATGAGATATTTGATGATGACTTGTAGTTTGTGTGAGGAGTTGGACCAGCAGCTACAAATGATCTCCATCACTAGATGTATACTACAGGGCCTGATTGTAGGAAGTGGGGTTCACTGGGCCGAGAACCAGCAACTACAGGAACTGGTCCTCAAACTGGGGGAATTCCTCCAGATATAAACTGTTGTAAGTCAATGGGATCCAGCAATAGCAGCTTTCCTCTGCACTTATGGAAGTGATATTTATTTGTTTATTATTTCTTCGGATTGTAACAGGGTTTCAGTGGTAGATACAGATTTTTTTTTTTTAATAATTGAATATTGGATTATTTTTTGCCCAAGACAAAGGGCAGAAGACTACAAACTGCTTAAATATTTCATTTGTAGAAAAGTAAATACATGCTATACAGTGAACAATTTATCAATATTTTGAAAGGACAATTTACACAATGGTTTCAAAGATAGCAACATTTTATGTAAGGCCAACAAAAATAATAGTCTAGTTTCCTGCTGCCAGCCTCCAAAAAATAGGGTAGGTAGGTAGGAATATTATTTTATTTCATTCCAATGGTATTTGTTCATGTTGTTGGATATGAACTATTACAAAACCAAATTAAACATGTCATAGGTCAATATTATTGTTTAAAATAAGAAGTGTTTTATGAAAGCCCATATTTAAAACTTATATTTCGTGAAATACTACTTGAATATATTTTTTTTCACTTTTGGATCATGAAATTTCCGATTTTCCCCAAAAAACTATATAAAAACTTTAGGGTCAGGTGCAGAAAAATAGGGTAGGTTGGGTAGCAGGAAACAAGACTATTTTTATTTTTGGCCTAACAGTACAGTGTATTTTCCTCTCTGTGTTTGTGAAAACAAATGATAATGTACTGTAAAAGGTAAAATGCAGTATAGCAATGATTATGTACGTTGAACTTCAATTAAAATTAATACAATTTTTATACCCCGCTCCGAAGGAGAGGGGGTATACTGTTTTACACTTGTGTCTGTCCATCCATCCGTCTCTCTGTCTGTCTGTAACAAATTTTCGTCGCAGTTTTCTCAGCAACTAGTCATCGCTGATGCTTGAAATTTTAAGACAATGTTCTCTGAGGCATGCCACATGTTGGGATTAATTTTTGTTCAAATCTGATGTCAACTTCGTGTTTATCTGTGTGTCTGTTCATTTCATACATAACAAATTTTCATTGCAGTTTTCTCAGCAACTACTCATCGCAGATGCTTTGACATTTAAGCACACCTTTTCGTGAGGCTTGCTATATTGTGGGATTAATTTTTGTTCAAATCTGATGTCAACTTCCTGTTTGTCAGTGCATCTGTCTGTTCATATACTAACAATTTTTCTTCGCAGTTTTCTCAGCAACTACTCAAAACAGATGCTTGAAATTTTAGTAAATACTTTGTTGAGGCATGCAGTATGGTGGGATTTATTTTTATTTGAAACTGATGTCAAATTCCTACTTTTCTGTGCATATACCCTTAACGTTTATTAACATTACATTGTATATTCACATCACACGGGGGGTATTACTAGTGAGCATTGGCTCACAGATTTCTTGTTTTGTATTGATACAGTGAAACACACTTGACATACACTAGTTTATTATATTTCAAACAGAAAAAAGCTCTTACATATCTGTTAATTAAATAAAATTTTCACAATACATGTATTATATATAAACAGATTTATATATAAATGCTCACTTCATTTTTATATGAAGTCACAATGAAAATTTGATATGGATGTTTTATGGTACAAATGTGAAAGTAAATGTATATTAAAGATGTATTTTGTAGTTTTAATTTCTTTTTCCAAATAACAAGAAAAAAAAGCTATTACAGTAATACATATCAAATAGGAATACCAAGAACCTTCAACTGATAAATGGTTATTCTACCAAAAAAGTCTGTACTGTTGTTGAATATTATTTTGAATTTCTTCAGAGAGGTTACATGTGGTAATTTAAAGCTGTCAGCATAGTTAAGGAAGAACGATACAGAAACAATCTAGTAGCTTTTACAATAATTCTACAGCATTTTATGCATCATAATTTATAGGCAGCCCGAGTCACCAATGTCAAATCCTTTTGTATGGACATTTATAAGTAAAAAGGAACATTAGCCTCCCTTGAGCCTGAGAGTGGCTGAAACCATCAAAATTGATGCATTCTTCAAAACCCTTTACTCCTGGACATCAGGCATTCAAAATGTTGGCATGATTTTGATGAGCAATGAGCCCACTACCACAACTTTAAATTGTGAAATTTATGGCCCTTGGGTTAGGGTACAGGGTGGGGCTAAATTTGTCGTATGTATTTAAATGCAAAACAGGTATACCTTTAAAAAAAATCTCCACACCTTTATATCCAGGAGAAAAATCATTTGTATGATAAAAACTGGAATTCACCGAGATATTGAAATTCTTGCTCCATCAATCCACTATTAAGGCTCCTTGGTGGAGTTGGTCATATGTGGTAAATTTTGGCCTGCAAATATGTTGCCATTGATCACATTTGTACCCCCCCCCCTGCTAGGGGTACTGTAAGCTATGTTGATCATATTTTAAAAATGCTCTGTAGCTTTTAGGAACTTTTCTTCTCCTAATCATCTAAGAACAAGCTTCATTAATATGATAATGAACATAGAGTCCTCATCCACAACAAATTTTAAAATTCATGTCAAATGTGTGCAAATTTCCAGTTGAAGGGGGCTAAACTGTCATATTCAGTAAAATGCATTTCAGTTCACTGTTGAGGCCCATGCTCCCCCCCCCCCCCCAGCAAAAAAAAATCTTTTCTATGTACATTTATATGATTATGTACCATTTTCATAAAAAGGATATTTGTAATGAATTAACATCTTCTGGAAAGAATTCCATTATGGTGTGTTTATCATTATTCTCATCAGTCATCTGTAAACTGCAATCTTTCCCAGCAAATCCCCCCTGAAATTGGATTTGAATTTCTTCCACATTAGATAATGAATCCAGATTAACTTCTATCCATTGAGGGGAACCCTACAAAGTAAATGTATGTTCAAATAATTACACAACAGTAAAGATTTAAAACATATGATTATCTTTGAAATTCAGAAAGGCCATGTTCGGGTAGTTAACTATCACATCACTGAGCATTGACAAAAGGTTGATGGCAAGATAATGCAATAGGGTGATAACTATGAAGCAATGGTGCTATAGCGCGACAACCATGATCTGATGGTGCAACAATGCCAAGAAGCAATAGCGATGACATGACAGTACGATGATGATGAAGCAATGTTCACTGTTGGTTCATTTTGATAAACAGTAAACACCATCCTTACTGCATTGTTGCATCATCACATCATCGTCATCATGCTATATTGCATCATCACTTCATTGTCACCACACCATCACTATTCCTCCTATACCACTAAATAAATTAAATGATACTATCACAGATTCTTTATTACATAATACCCACTGTGCACCTCCTATTTCACTCTTTGATCTGACACTTATTTTGGGTCTCCCAGAGACAAAACATGAACTTTGCCATTATTTGGTAGGCAGGGGTACAGTGTGTAACGGGAAAGGAGAAAATGCAGCGGACCAGACTGGGATTTGAACCCGGGCCCCCTGAAACTCCAGTCAGGTGCTCTACCAACTGAGCTATCTGGCCACCCGCGATCGAACCCGGCTGACCGCCACATTCCTCCCTCCTTAAAGGTCTTTGGCCCTCCAAAGACCCCAACCCAGGCTCATCCCTGGCAGGCCTCTCACCTGTCAATTCCAGGGCATGGCACAGCACCAAATGTAACGGGAGAGGAGAAAATGCAGTGGACCAGACCGGGATTCGAACCCGGGCCCCCTGAAACTCCGGTCAGGTGCTCTACCAACTGAGCTATCTGGCCACCGGCGATCAAGTCCGGCTGACGGCCACACAGTGTATCATTTAGTAAGCTCATGCAGTGCTCACAGTACCTGTAGTTTTCGTGGGAATCTTTATAAAAGGGAGATAAAAAATAAGTATGATTAATATTAGTTTAAGGGGGATGTACGGCCACCTTTAGTGCAGTGAGAGCAAAATGTAAACATTTCTTCAAATGGCTAAAATACATTATATTTTGATCAAATTTTAAGTCTTTTTGATAAAGATACAATAAATATGCATAACCGAATGCATGTTGTGCATATATAATCTATACTTTTGCAGAAAAATGCTTTTGATATGCTTCTTGGAACTGCGCAGCTACAGAATTCAGCAGAGCCTTAAAAAATCCAAAAAAATATGCAAACTGTGCATTAATGTTCTCTCTACAACCATTTGTTGAGAAAATGTCTAAATTTTGCACTTTTAAATGATAATTTCAAGTTCAAAACAAGGTACTATTGTCTTCAAAAAGAGTGTAAAGAACCATGAAAGTAGTTCATGGATAGCAGCACGTGGTCTATTTTTAGCACAGAATCTTGTTTTCCAGACCTCTTCTTAATATGGAGGGGCATAACAATCTTTAAATGTAGAAGAGAATTACAGTTGCAAAATATTTCAAATAATATGAACACTTTTAAAAGAGGAAAGGTGTTATAGTGTAGCTTGAAGTAATTTATTTAGTTTGAACATAATTTTTTTTTTTTCTATTTGCCCATATTTTCAAAATTACAATTGTACAAAGTAAAGAGAAAAAAATCAACCTATAAACATATTTAAAATGATGTTTGGTGGTCCTCCCAACTCAGGGAAAAATCATTGGGTCCGTATTTATAAGTGAGAAAAACAAATCCTTAAAATTTAAACAGAATTGTTGACGGAAGAAAAAGAAAAAAATATCGTGTAATGGGATGTTAAAAAAATGAGTCGGGCCATTTCTAGGCAATAGATCGGGAGAGAGGGCAACCAAATATTTTTATAACAAGTGGTATTATAAGGCTAGTACATGTTCCATCACATACTTAGTAATGCAATTTTTTTTAATATTTGACACTATTTTGAAAAACAAACAAAGGATTTTCGGGGGAGGGGGGGTTAGCACTCACTTTTGTTTGCGATGATAGACATAGCATATGCAATGGACCTTTCATTGCAAACATTGTGTTCGCTTCTAAATTTCATAGAAACAACTCATAATATTTTATCAAGCTTCGTATGTTCAATGAGCGAGAGCTTACAACGTTGTCAACATAATGAGACATGATGCGTTTTTGTGTCCAAACATGACCCCATACAATGTGTGGGTCATTGCAAACATTCTAGCTATTTATGTGAGGTGCCTGAAGGAAATCCTATAACTGCCTATTTTTTTCTATCTAACTTATAAACAAAATAGACATATGTATACCAACTTTTCGAATGTAAGACATGTAATTACAATTTATTTTTCATGCACTGCGTATTGTTTAACATTTTCAAATTAAATGCTAAGCATCCTCCTTGCAGTGACCCATTTGAAAATTACTTCTATCGCCACAGAAAAAAGACCCACCGTAAACACATATGTTTAGGACATTTTTATCTTTTTTTCTTGAGTTTTAAAGAAACCAACAAATTATAAAGACTTGTTCCATAAAAATTAAATATAATCATGGTAATAAACGGATTTATCCACAGCAGATATATGCACATGCCAACCATGTGCTTAGTGGAATAATATTAGCGAGGAATTTCGAGTTGTAAACAGAACAGTTTTTCCCGATTTGCTGGAGTGAGGTTAAAATCGCGTTTTTTTTCGCACATTCCTCCCTCCTTAAAGGTCTTTGGCCCTCCAAAGACCCCAACCCAGGCTCATCCCTGGCAGGCCTCTCACCTGTCAATTCCAGGGCATGGCACAGCACCAAATGTAACGGGAGAGGAGAAAATGCAGTGGACCAGACCGGGATTCGAACCCGGGCCCCCTGAAACTCCGGTCAGGTGCTCTACCAACTGAGCTATCTGGCCACCGGCGATCAAGTCCGGCTGACGGCCACACAGTGTATCATTTAGTAAGCTCATGCAGTGCTCACAGTACCTGTAGTTTTCGTGGGAATCTTTATAAAAGGGAGATAAAAAATAAGTATGATTAATATTAGTTTAAGGGGGATGTACGGCCACCTTTAGTGCAGTGAGAGCAAAATGTAAACATTTCTTCAAATGGCTAAAATACATTATATTTTGATCAAATTTTAAGTCTTTTTGATAAAGATACAATAAATATGCATAACCGAATGCATGTTGTGCATATATAATCTATACTTTTGCAGAAAAATGCTTTTGATATGCTTCTTGGAACTGCGCAGCTACAGAATTCAGCAGAGCCTTAAAAAATCCAAAAAAATATGCAAACTGTGCATTAATGTTCTCTCTACAACCATTTGTTGAGAAAATGTCTAAATTTTGCACTTTTAAATGATAATTTCAAGTTCAAAACAAGGTACTATTGTCTTCAAAAAGAGTGTAAAGAACCATGAAAGTAGTTCATGGATAGCAGCACGTGGTCTATTTTTAGCACAGAATCTTGTTTTCCAGACCTCTTCTTAATATGGAGGGGCATAACAATCTTTAAATGTAGAAGAGAATTACAGTTGCAAAATATTTCAAATAATATGAACACTTTTAAAAGAGGAAAGGTGTTATAGTGTAGCTTGAAGTAATTTATTTAGTTTGAACATAATTTTTTTTTTTTCTATTTGCCCATATTTTCAAAATTACAATTGTACAAAGTAAAGAGAAAAAAATCAACCTATAAACATATTTAAAATGATGTTTGGTGGTCCTCCCAACTCAGGGAAAAATCATTGGGTCCGTATTTATAAGTGAGAAAAACAAATCCTTAAAATTTAAACAGAATTGTTGACGGAAGAAAAAGAAAAAAATATCGTGTAATGGGATGTTAAAAAAATGAGTCGGGCCATTTCTAGGCAATAGATCGGGAGAGAGGGCAACCAAATATTTTTATAACAAGTGGTATTATAAGGCTAGTACATGTTCCATCACATACTTAGTAATGCAATTTTTTTTAATGTTTGACACTATTTTGAAAAACAAACAAAGGATTTTCGGGGGAGGGGGGGTTAGCACTCACTTTTGTTTGCGATGATAGACATAGCATATGCAATGGACCTTTCATTGCAAACATTGTGTTCGCTTCTAAATTTCATAGAAACAACTCATAATATTTTATCAAGCTTCGTATGTTCAATGAGCGAGAGCTTACAACGTTGTCAACATAATGAGACATGATGCGTTTTTGTGTCCAAACATGACCCCATACAATGTGTGGGTCATTGCAAACATTCTAGCTATTTATGTGAGGTGCCTGAAGGAAATCCTATAACTGCCTATTTTTTCTATCTAACTTATAAACAAAATAGACATATGTATCCAACTTTTCGAATGTAAGACATGTAATTACAATTTATTTTTCATGCACTGCGTATTGTTTAACATTTTCAAATTAAATGCTAAGCATCCTCCTTGCAGTGACCCATTTGAAAATTACTTCTATCGCCACAGAAAAAAGACCCACCGTAAACACATATGTTTAGGACATTTTTATCTTTTTTTCTTGAGTTTTAAAGAAACCAACAAATTATCTAGACTTGTTCCATAAAAATTAAATATAATCATGGTAATAAACGGATTTATCCACAGCAGATATATGCACATGCCAACCATGTGCTTAGTGGAATAATATTAGCGAGGAATTTCGAGTTGTAAACAGAACAGTTTTTCCCGATTTGCTGGAGTGAGGTTAAAATCGCGTTTTTTTTCATTAATCAGACGATGCGATGCAACAAATAAAAGTAGTAAGTAATATAACCTAATGATTATTACTTAGTAATTTCTTGTCTTGGTGTTATTATGGTCGCATTTATTCTAAAATCATTGTTATTCGAACTCTGTGTGACAGAGGAATGGCGGACGAAATAAACACATGGCCTCAGGAAGACACCCATATGAAAAATCAAATTTTCAAGAATTATGGATAATGACAAGAAAAAAACGAAACAAATGGTTGTTGCCATATTATCAATGAATCAAACTAACACCATTTTCAATGCATTTTTCATCTCATGAATGCTGTAGCTGCGCAGTTCTATCATGATTAATTTTCTTCTAAGTAAGACAAAATAAACTTAATTGTTTTCTAATTTTGGTCTCTAACAGTAGGTAATTAGTGCATTAGCACTTTGAGTAACTTTGAGCTAGTTTAGTAGAGTATTAAGCGCATTCTTGGTATTTCTTAGTTTACACCAGACTAGATCCAATATGGCTTGTACATCCCCCTTAACTAGAGGTACAGTGACTGAGTGAGAACAAGCTCACTAAATGATACCTCCACCTTCCATATATATAAAGCTTGAAGAGCATTACTTGATCAGAATTCCAACATGTATCCTCTTCCCCATCTACCATATGTCGTGGTCCATAATTTTTGATGTCTCTATTCAGCACTGAACTAACTCTGCAATTATTAGTGGAATATTGGTGTATTGAGTTCGAATTTACTCGTGGCATTTTCAAAGTGGGATAGCGTTTGTCTCTTCATAAACTAACTTTAAACTTCTTATAAAAAATTAAGTGCTTTGTGGGTTAAACTTACTTTAAACTAGTGTCCTTGTTGGTTAAAGTGCTTGTCATCATTAAAGTTTTTTATTGATATTTTCGTAAACAAGTTCCATGCTTTAGGCAAGCGGTAAACTTGGTACTCATAACCTACTCGGAGCTCCTCGAATGGCTCGTACCTCGCACAATGAACTGAGCGTAGCGGAGTCAGCCGAGGATTGCCGATTGACTCCAAACGCTCAATCGTCGCAAACCACGGCCAAAATGTACGCTCCTCTCCCACCATCTGGTAGGAGAGAGCTATATATATGCGAACTCCGGACCGTGGCTTGAGACGATGTAGGAGAGAGCTGTATATATGCGAACTCCGGACCGTGGCTTGAGACGATGACAAACGCTCGGGTGTTGCTAAAACGCAGAACGGATATAAAAGTAGCTGCAGATCTGTAGCGTTATGGTTTTGGTTTTAGATATTTGTCTTTGACCATAACGCTACAGATCCCGTGATGCATAAAAGGTGCAGTTTACGGCGCAATATTTTTTGCGCACTTTTGGGGAGAATTTCTCCACTTTCTAGCATTGGTCAATCAACTACCTTTCACTCCCTTATTCTAGACACATTCTGTAGCCAATATGTATATTTTATCCACCTTCCAACCATTTATAGTTGTCTCTACAGGCAATAAACTCACTTGAAGTGAATTTTCAGCAATCTAACATATAATTTTAATCAAGCGAGTTAATCACTTGTAGAGACGACTATATAAAGAGTAGGTAGATGGATAAAACATACAGATTAGTTAAATAATGTACCTAGAGTTAGGGGGTAAAAGGCAGTTAATTGACCGATGCTGGAAAGTGGAAAAATTCTCCTCAAAAGTGCGCAAAAAATATTGCGCCGTAAATTGCACCTTTTTTGCATTACGGGATCTGTAGCGTTATGGTCAAAGACAAATATATTAAACCATAACGCTACAGATCTGCAGCTAATATAAAAGCAGATATATTAAAAGCAACATTCTTGAAATAAAAGTCATATCTAATAAAAAAAAAAAATATCGTAAACTATGATATGTTCAATAATCATGCACACCCTCGGCTCCATTGGCGTCGGAAGCAAATTAAAAGGGGGAAAGGGGGGTGCTTGTCAAGTTTTTTTGGGGTAGGTTTTGAATTTTGTTCTTTCACTTAGTACGAGGGTCGTTAGAAAAGTTCGCGGACACATTGAATTACGGAAAATCTACTGTGTACTGTGAAATATGACCTATGTCTGAATAAATTCCTATATTTTGTTTATTGGTATGTAAAAAATCAGGTCCATATAATAAAATCTTGAAAATTTACAACATTTTTACCATGAAGTCATGGGATTCACGGAGCAATCACTTGACGTAAGGCGACGTGACAACCAGATTTCAACCGGTTAAGCTTTGTCACAGTTCTATAAATCTTTCATTTCTTTAGATTTTTCTTACCTTTTTTCCACTTTAAAATTGAATATCTATATCAAGACATGTTATTTTTCTTCTATATAATGTCTTTTGTACTAATTCGGATATTATTGAGATCTTAAAAAAGTCTATGCGGTTAATCGATCAGGTATGGAAACTATGCAAAACCATATAGGCGCAACGCAACGTCCTTGCGATACGGGGGTATTGAAGTATCGATGGAGTTAATCATTCAAAATGTTAATCCTTCCATTCTTATGAAGCTACAACCATTTGAAAACTTGTCCTTTGTAGGTGAAGGAAATTCCCGCAGCATCTTGAACATTTTAATCTCTTTTTAGACATTTTCCAGTCTGCATACATAATTTTTACGTAGTGCAGTGCTCCATGACGCTCAATGACGTTCCGATTTTTGGCTTTGTTTTTAAGCGTTGATCAGTTATAAACGGCTATAAAACAGTCATATATGCTCCAGTTTAGTTCAAAATTTCTCCCAGTGACGTTTCATGAATACTTTAGCGGCAGGTAAAATATCATAAAACTCTTTGCGGTACAATTGTGCAATTTTTAATTTTAATAAAGAGTCTTTGTGATGTAAACGTGCCAAAATGTATCATGCTCCGTGAAGCAAGTTTTATCAAAATAAAAAAGCTGTATATTTTTCAATAATCATCGGGGAGCACCAAATTCTTGTATATTTATTGGAAAAAAGGTAAAGATTTTATCTGGAAAGTTTGACCGGTTTCGTGGAAATAGCGCGCTCAAAATAGAACTTGTCCGCGAACTTTTCTAACACCCCTCGTACTGTTTTCCGTTCCGTTCCACGTTTTAGCAACACCCCTTACGCTCACGGTGTCCGATGTAGTCTCGAGACTGTCCGATGAAGATTCGCTTTGAACATCCTTGCCAGGCATATATTTTCTGCTTTAAAATAAATTCATGTATACACACTTTTGTGATGAAATTTGAAGATTAAGGAACAGTTATCAAAATCAAGAGTAAAAAAAAAAGGCCTCCAAAAACATCAAGGTGCATGGGATTAGGTGCAAAGGGGGTGTAAGAATGCATTCCTTGTCGAATCAAAAATTGTTCTAAATATGTCATTTGTCCAAAAGCGATAAACTTAGAAATAATGCAATGAAATATGAAGAAAACTAATAGTAATCATATCAAAATTCCTTTGAAACGATATAAATCGGGAGCAGAAAAAACAAAGACCTATCAGCATGATCAGCTAGAGGTGGGATCGAGTGCCATGGAGGAGTAAGCATCTCATGTTGACCGGTCACACCTGCCTTGTGCTCCTTTTGCCTTGAATTTAGACGAGACTTTTGATCGATGTCGTTGTTTTTGCCAACTTATTTGTCAGTAGCCTGTCTTGTTTCAGAAATTGTTCGTACATAGAGCACGGCCCTGCGTAGATATCGAATCCACTGGGAGTAATAAATTACATATGCATATATTAATGGTACTTATATATTACGGAAAGTTTATGATACAGAAAAGTTGAGAAGTAATGGACACAAATTAAATCTGTCGATGACCCGCTATTTACTTAATTTAAAGGGATCGAATTTTATTTAGTCTTGGAATCCAGTATAGGCAAGATAATTGAAATTTAATTTGATAGTTTGGAAATATTAACATACGGTATTTAATAGAAAAAATCTCATTAGAAAGGGAACTATGAGTACAAGTAAGATTACCACTTTAAATCAAGTTCTGTAGTTATCTTAGAAATGTATGATCCAAAAATAAATACTGATTCATCGAGTAGCTCATTTTAGTACGTATAATAAATGCAACAATTCTTAACTTTTAAAGGTATACTTGAGTTGATCTAAACAAAATAAGAGTGTCTAAAAAGTTGTTTTCCATCAATCCGAGAGAGTCGAGAATCGGTAGTACTACATTTACCGCCTGCATTAAATTTGATCTAAGTCAATTATGCGCTTGTTATGAAAACTCTCTCCTTGGAATGATAAGGGTTTGTATCAGACATTGTTCCACACATTTTAATAAAAACACAAAGACAGTATCCGCTTTTGTTTCAAAGCCACTGTTTTCATCTGTCGGAATAAAATCGATCCAGGCTTCATTTTCAAGCCCTATGTCAAAGAAGGCGAAGGTAGCAACTGTGGACCCAGTATACCAGAGCACTGATGGCAAAGTCGTGATCACAATTCTGGCCAAGCCAGGAGCCAAACAAAATGCAATTACTGGTAAGCCAAAAAGAGCCAACCAATGTTATGTAATAAAACATGGATAATGCATAAACACTATATAGCCAGTGAAAAATTGTGTATAGAGTTTGCTCAGGCACAGTTGAGATATTGTAAAAATTACAATAGGTTATATTTACTTTGAATTTGTCTCATTTTAATTGGCCCACTTGCAACATGGTGGATAGGCAAAGTTCTTGTATACAGTGAACATATGATTTTAACATTGTTTTCCTGTCAGATATCTCGGAGGAAAGTATTGGTGTCCAAATAGCAGCACCACCTGTAGACGGCAAGGCCAATATGGAATTGGTCAAGTTCATGGCGAAGACGCTGGGGGTCAGGAAATCTGACGTGGTGCTGGAGAGGGTAGGAAGTGCAGCAGTACTTAGAATATCTTGGAATGCTTGAGTTTATTGACTACAATTTAAATGTTACCATTTAATACTACTTAAACAATCATGGTATCTGAATCATGAAAATATTATTCATTTGTCTTCATAGATAATGAATTTGTTTCCAGGGTTTCATAAATACTAGTATATTATGTTAATTTAAGGCTCAAATGTTTCAAGTATAAAATGTAGTCATTGTTTTCTATGAAGGGCTCAAAGTCTCACTCGAAAACCGTGGCAGTCACTGGTAAGAGTAAAGAAGATGTGCTGGGCATGATCAGATCTCAAATAGACACAGACCACTGATGCAGTGCGGACAGAAAAGAGAGGTTACAGGGCCATCATAAAAACTTAACAGGATTCCTCTACATGAAGTGGGATGGATTTAATAGAGGTAAATTGTACAAGAGTATTATACAGAAATAGAAAACTTTATAGCCTTTGATTCAGCAAATTCTCTAGAATGTCTTCAGCTTAAATCTGGCAGATTACATGTTTTGCTGTATTCAGAATATCTGTGCATCAGTTTTATCACAAAATATTCTCTACATTTAGACACATTCAGTCATTCAGTATTTACAGCAAATTATGAGAATACATTTATTGTACATCAAAATTAATTACAGAGGATACACACAAATCCAAATTTTATCTCATGTCTAACAAAACATCAAAATGAGCTATATATCACAAGAGAGTGAGTGTTCAGAAAGGAAAATTCAGTTTAAAAATTCCCAAATGTAAAACCAAATTTGTATGAATCATGATGAATAACACTAAACATATCCTCAGAATTATCATCTCCATGCCTTATTAAATTCATAATGCACTGACAATACATTCTATACGTTGAATGGTTCACTAATGAAATACTTCCTTGCTGATGGTCCATACATTTGAATGGCATCAGCTGGTGTTACAATTCTCCCTTTCTCGGGGTTATTCCTGAAATTAACATGATTACAGTCCTTGTGTGAAAGGTAAGATGCTCCATGATCCTCCTTGCTTTCAGACATGGAATGAAGTCTATTGGTCTGATCCAGTGAATGGAACAAAGGAAATTCATTTCCCTGAACTTGATCTGCCTTTTTGCTGCAGTTGAAGAAGCTTACCTGACTGGGAAATCTGTTATATGGAGTGTACTTAGTAAACACACTGTTATGTGGTGTGGAGATTTTTATACTGGGTGTTTTTGGAGATTTTGTCTCTTCTGGGATTGGCTGTAATGACTGTCGTCTGCCACTGTTCCTTCTGATTGGTTCTTGGGACCAGAGACCTTTACGTCCAATAGTCTCATCCTTGACCTGAGCTTCATGTCTGAGACGCTCTTTATAAGCTTTCCAGGTGACAGAGGTGATGTCAGAATCAGAGAGCTTCTCCACATTCTCCTCCTGGCTCTGTCTTCTGTAAATAAACCAGTATTTATTAACCTGAAAAATTAACCTACATAATATAGATTGGGAAAAGGCCTGTAAATGTGGGGGAACTTGATTAACTAGCTGTGATCCTCGGAAAGTTTTTTTTTCCACATTTACCAAAATATTAGATATATTGGGGTATACCTCTTGCAGTAGTCCAAACATCCTAAAATACAGGCCCGGAAGAATAGCCATATGACCTCAAGAATAGAGACGATGGAGACTCCTATCAGTAAAGAGGACACACCTCCAATGTTTGCAAGCAGTTGAAGCAACTGGAAGGTCAACAAAACATGTTTACATTTTAGAGCAAGTTGTCATTTCTTTCTGCTTCAAATCCTTCAATCATTGTAGCATTACATTATTCGAAGGTTTACTTGAAAACTCACAGACGATGAGGAGTTCTCTGTTATTCTTGTTTCTCTTGCATTCATCATGTCAATTGATACTTTCACCATAGAAGATCTGGAAAATTTAAAATTTAAGATGTAGCATATGAAAAAACATACAAGTTCTCAGTTCTTGTGTCTCACTATACCAGTCAAGGTTTCAGATGCTGCAATTTTAGCTAAGAAATTACCATGTTAATGTGTTCGAAGCAGCTTTAAGTATTTTGAGCAGGTCTTATTCTAAAATAACTATAAGACCAATGCTGACCAAACTTGCGTGGATGATAATGATATATTTTAAGGATGTACACTGCCAGGCTTGCTTCGGATGCTGGATGTGACCTAAACTTTCTGGATAAGTGACCAAGTTAGAGTTTTACTGATCAGGTTCAGTACCCAGAAACTAAGGCCCATATTAACCAAACTTGCATGGGTGATGCATCAAGAGATGAACACTATTAAACTCGCTTCAGATGCTGGATTTGAATTACATTTTTTGGATGAGTGAAATTATTTTAAATTTTTGGATGAGTCCATTCCCAAGTACTGCAAGTCCTATCAGATCAAAATTGCATAAATGTTGCATCTGGGATGTACATTACTATTTTAGAGACTGCCTTCCTCAAAGACAACATTCACTGAGGTGAGCTCTATAGTCTCTGATTACCTGTGTTAAACCTTGTCTTAATGGGACAGTATGAGGTATGAGAGATGGTCTGACCTTATTTGACTGGCAGTCCTGACTAGTCCCTGTGTCTGTAAGTAGTTTTGTTCATGCTTCAGATTCCCCTCGGACGGCCAGGGTAGGGACGTATCTCGAGACTCCAAAGTCGTAGTGCTGAAATATTAGACTTTAGTTTGAGGCTTAAATGGATGTTTTCTGTACTAACTAGCAACAAAAACCTTTTGCCAGTTTCTCCTTTATTTTTTGTTATTAAATTTTCTCTGATTTACCTGCATGGACTGGGGCAGGAGCATGGCAGCTTTCCTTCCAAGGCCAGATTTGAGAGGACAAAATAACACAGGACTGTATACAAATTAAAATATGTAGTAATAGGCTGTACGTACAACATTTCAGCAAAAATGAAACTGTTTTAATTTGTAAAAAATCAAATAATAATACTGTTGCATAACTCTTTACATTCAAACTGCACGTTGAGACGACATTTCTGTGTATTGTTCATCTCGAAAGACTGTCGACATTCACAATAGATTTGGGAGAAATTGTCAATACACCTAGTCATGCATTTCTGAAAGAAAAAATTGAATCTATTTCTTTCTTGACAAAAAACATGTGAGAAAGAGAGACTTTACCTTCCATCCTTCTTGGAAAATAATATTTTAAGAGAAATGGGTTTTGAACAGAAAAAAAGCTTTACCTGCTTGTTGTATTGCTGTGCATTTGTACATCCACTTTGTTTTGTTCTGACAATCTGTTTATAACGTGAAAGAGAAAATGACATCAGATAATATACAGAAATCCGGATGTCCGGATATGTGAAGCGTTACCTGAAACAAGAAATAACATTTTGAAATCAGATAATATACATGTAATTATGAAAAAGTACTTTCAGTATTTTTTTTTTTTATAGTAAAGAGTTTATGGTTTAAATTGGTCTTGCACATTCATTTTTGAAATTACTGGAATAAAAGCATCACTATTATTTTTACCTACCACATTTTGCAGGTCAATGACGTTATGTGATCCAGGAGCCACAGAATGCCGCGATCCTTCTGTGATGTCATCTTTCTGTGTATGGAGGAATATAATAGCGCCTTGTTCTGGACTCAGTACATCAATATACTCATCTGACTCAATGTTAAGTCTTAATTCAAGTTCACCTGCAGAAAAAAGGCATTTGGTCATTGTCAATCAAGTGTGTGAATTACTGACTTTTTAAATTAAACACTGTTTTGTTTAAAACTAGGGCTGTGTATTGAGCAAAAAATTTTTTAAAGCAATATGCGATATATTGGATTCTAAAACAAGTCCATCAAAAAAGGCTTATTACTCATTTAATGCATGGATTTCATAAAAAATTTAGTGTTTTATTACCCATTTCAAAGTTCTTATCCCATTGTCATTAGATAAAACACTTCCAATCGAAACTTTTAATGACTGTAAAATCAACATGTCAAAATAAAATTGTTATGTATTTTATAATGACTATAAAAACTGTGTTATTTCCTTTATAATTCTATAATTATTGATCAGTTTTGATTCAAAAAAGTGAAATATAATCTTTGTTGATTAAAATTCCCATCTTTTTAGTATAATTAGAAGAAAAACTGCTTGTCCAATACGTATTGAAAGTAATTTTTCGATACAATATTATTCTTGAATATCGATACGTATCGATATATTGATATATTGATACAGCCCTATTTAAAACCGAATTTTTTTTTTTTTTACATTGCATAATAATATGAGAATGAAAAAAATAACTGTATATTATAAAAGAGACATATTTTTTTGTTATAGTAAGTAAAATACATGTACTTGTAATAGTAAAAAAAATATTTAAATGAATGTTTGTATTAATATGTGAAAAAGTACTTGTACATGTACCATGAAACACCTGTTTTGCATTGTTAATTGAATATGGGGTCATCAATAAAATATATGAGAAACTGGTATCTGTCCTGCATACCTAGAGGTCTTATTGTAGGAGATGGAATTGTGAAACATCTTCCATAATTTTCATCAACAATCTCTTCAATGACCCTGAAAATATAGATGTAATATTATCAGTATAAAGAAAAGCAAGATGGTTTTGGAAAACATTGACATCACTGTATGGAATTAAATTTTTAGCTCTACAGGTCGAAGACCAGAAGAGCTTATGCGATAGTAATCATAATGTGTCCGTCCTCCATCTGTTTGCCTTTCTAGCTGTCTGTCCGTCTGTAAACAATTTTTCAAAATGCTACTCCTCTAACAGTTTTGGTCCGATTTCAATATAACTTGGCACACAAGTACACTACACTAAGATACATAATTCTGTTGTATCAAAATTTGATTTTGATGAACGTTGTTGCCACGCTTACTAAAAATAGAAATTTCTTTAAACTTTTCAAAATGCTACTCCTCCTACAGTTTTGGTCTCATTTCAATATAAATTGGCACACTAGTAGACTATACTAAGATACATAATTCACTTTATTGGTTTTTAATTTCGATGAACAGTGTTGCCATGGTTACTAAAAATAGAAATTTCTTTGAAATATTTTCAAAATGCACTAAAAATAGAAATTTCTTTGAAATATTTTCAAAATGCTACTCCTCTTAGAGTTTTGGTCCGATTTCAATAAAACTTGGCACACAAGTAGACTGCACTAAGGTACATGATTCTGTTTATCGGTTTTTGATTTCGATGAAGGGTCTTGCTATGGTTATTAAAATAGAAATTTCTTTGAAATATTTCAAAATACTACTCCTACAGTTTTGGTCTGATTTCAAAAAATTGTCAAGAAATAGACTAAAACAATGATACATCTTTTTAACTGTGTGCCTAGTGTTAAAATTTAAGCGCAAAAAGCTTAATGAATATGCTGGTCGTGAAGAACTGGTCTTTCTGTTTGTAATTAATACAAAATTTTGAATATCAACTTTTCCGACAATCGAAATTCTGAAACGCACTCATTAAAGACTTGGATGTTATTGCTGCGGTGACGGGCTACTTTCGTTTTAGTTCGCTGCAGAAAGGCTGATATAAAAGTTCTAGATAAATAATAAGAGCTCGAAAGTATGACAAATGCATTTAGTTTTAACTCAGAAATCAATCATTATGATCGCTGCTCAAATAAAATTATAATGATTATTAAATCAAATTGTAGTAGTTTCTCCAATTGCGGGTCACTCAATCTCGTGGCATGAACATCTTAAAATTCTATGTACAAAACCAATCGACAACCATGTATTTACCTTGATTTTCAAAAGTATTCTAACTGGAAAATATTTTTTCTAAAAATTAAAATCGAGTTAAACCTTCAAATGCATCTTTTAAATAAATGAATTTAATTGTATTTATTTTTAATCCTAATACATTGTTTTACATTCTGCATACTGCAATTTGTTTTGTTGTAATTGTTTTAAAAATAATTTAAACATATTTCTGTGATTGTTTTACTTTTTTCCAAGCTGCATGAATTGTTTTATGTTTCAACATCAGAAAAATTGCGTTCCGAAACATTCCATGAATATTTACACGACCGTGAAGTCACATGACCCGGAAATGGAGAAAATGATTCGTAACTGGGGAAGCTAGGCCTTGCTGAAATATCCCTGTAAATATTGTTCCCGTGTAGCTACTTTGAAAACGAAAAGTTGTTTGGATGACTCACTATTTGTTCTTTCAATACATATATTGCATAAAATGTAAATTGAACAGATTTGCAAAATATCAACGGGGGGGGTGTGCTGTTGCAAAGTTTCAAGTTCAAATGCTAATCACAGGTCAATTGTTTTAAACTGTTGAAGGATGAACGTACAGACAGACGGCAAATGTGCAGACGGATGGACATCGCGATCACTTCCCACTTTTCAAGCGGGGGGGGGGGGGGGGTAACTAAAAATCACAGACCTAAAAACGTCCATTAAGACAATATATGGAAAAAATATACTTTACTTCACATACTAGTATAATGTAAATTGGCTATTACATAGTTAAGGGTAATGCATTTAATATCTAAGGGAAGGAATTCTTCCTTTAATTCTTTTTGGGAGTGAGCACAATTTGTTGGTTGTTTATATGTTATTGGCGTGTCAAACAATTTTCGAGTTTCCGACTTCTTAATTTAAACAATATTTTATTATATGTTTAAACATAAAAGGATTGGACAGCAGGCACAGCCTATATAAATCCTCTCTATGAAAAAGTCTTTCTGACTTTTAAGTGGGTATGCCCCCCATCCCCAACCTCCAACGGAAAAAAAACGCGTTAATCATATATCGACCTTCTGTTGATAACTGTCAAATACTTAATACTGGAGTTTGTAGAGTACATTTGTTACTAACTAATACTTGAGAGTGAAAATGGAAAAGAAAGACGTAATGATGTTAAATAACCAGGTATTAAAGGGGCGAAAAATCGGTAGGTCTATTCAGTATGTCTGTACACGGGGCGATATTACTTCACTCAAGAAGTTCAACAACAGCTTAGACTGATTTGGTGTACTGATCAATATTTATGGCTGATAAAAACGCTCACCAAAACAAATAAAGGTCCATGTAAGAAAGCTATATTAATTTTTGTATCTTACAAAGACCAACTCTGAGAACAAGGAAAATATTACATAATTCGACGGCGGTGTTTTTGCGCAATACACTTCATTGTGTAATATTCTTTGTTATATTTCATCGTTCAAGTACCAAGAAAATACGCATTTACATTTTATTTTGATTTTTTAATGCTTTCAATGCATGGCATAATTTTTAGTGGACTATAAGTATTGCAAAATTTTAGCATGCATGTTTCATGTATACCGTTCTTTCAACGAATCTTCATTAAACGTGTGAGAAAGAGATAGAGTGCACTAGAAATGTTTTTTTCCCATAAAAATAAAAGAAAAAAAGGAACTGATTTGTGTCCTCCATGTCCAATGAAAGTGACAATATTAAGAGTAGTCTTTGATACTTTCTAAACATATTAATAATGTGAGATACTGAGTAATGCGTTTGTCAGTCATTGTAAAAATAATTCAGATGAATTGAAATAAAAGGGGTCTTTCATTCAGTTATCGTTCCTCTGTGTAAATCCTCATGTAAAAGAGCTGGAACTAGACTAGCTATTGTAAAAAGTAAAGTGGCGGATGTAGAAGAATCGCATCTAGATGTGACCTTATAAACATCCCACACACCCTAAAATGGCCGATTTCTTCCTGATAATACTATTTTTGATTTTTTACTTTTTTGCGAGAATAAAAACGAAAATCCATCTCCAAATGAAGGTAAGTGTTATTTGAATAAAAAATAATAATAAAGAAGGGGTATTATTTGCTACTCTCCATAGTGCTTCATAAAATGTTCTCGTTTTTCTTGTAAAATTTAGAGGAGGGTTATTCCCTATGGCAAAAATTTCTATATTCAAATATTTTGCGACAACTGAATCCAGGAGTAAAAAGATAATTTTACTTCGGTTCAATCATTTTCAAATGACATTTACTTACTCCTTGCAAGGTCTTTTGTCACACAAACATTGAACTATAGTTTCATTCGTTTGATGACCGTATTTCAAATATTCCTCTTTGCTTGGACTCGCAGCTCTCTGAAGAACCCAGAATCCGTACTTCAGGCTAGCTTTATATGCGTTATCCCAGTCATTCGGGGAGGTCATGGAGGAAAAGGGCAGAAAAAAGGCATCGGCCTCCGCTATTAATTTATCAAGCTTGTCTTTGTCCAGCAAGGTTTGGGCAAAAGAATAAAATGGAGTGAACTTGACTGCTTCGACTCCATTTTTGTTTGAGGATGGGATCAACATGTGTGCAGGCGCTGAAAGAGCAATCAGGTTGCGAAACCTTCCAAAAGAAGATGCAACCACTGAGAATCGCAGCTTGTTTTTGTTGCACACGGTTACATAAACCGGGTCAGACGGTCTGTTGTATGAGGATTCAATCTTATAGCTGGAGAGTTGTTGTAGATACACAGAAAAATTGAGATACACGAAAAACACAAATCCACCTAAAGCCACACACGGTACAATGATCCAGATGATGGATTCTAAAACATTAGCTGATGCTCCAGCTAACCCGAATCCGTGGATGTCTATAGCGGAAAACCAGTGCCTTGCTATCTCGAAATTAGAAGTAGAATTGGTGAAGTCGTCACTTGTAACGTCACGAAGTGTTTTCCATTTTTTCTTCTCTTTACTCTTTTCACAGTTCCCATTGCCAACACTCTCAGACTCCGATATGGAGGTAAAATATCTATCACATCTGTCCTTCCAGGCGCCGTAGGAATCTTCGTCCGCCATGTCTTATGTCTAATATCCTATATCCAACTATTACTGCTCTTTCATCTAGACGGTTGAATCCCAGTGTAAAAGTTGTCCGTAAATAAAATACACTGTCACAATGTTCAACCGAACACAAAGTCCAATACAATAAAACACTTTTAAGAAATGACAATTAAATGGGCGAACAGAAAAAAGTGTTATTCAATCCCAGACAAAATTGCAAAGATTGCAGAATAAGATTTCTTTTCGGTTATTGTGACTGTTCTTTTGACGTCTCAAGTCCAAAGCGTTTCCTTATTCCAATCAGTGAACGTTCATACATTGCTGTAAAGTTTAAATTCCCTAATCCAATTGCTTGTAGTGATTTTTCAAGTTTTGTGTATTCGGAGGAAGGCGTTTCCTTTCAACAGTGAAAAATGGAAAATTGGTCATTTTTAGGAATGTCAATCCATCTAATTATTGGTCATATATCGTTATGCTATTTTTGTGATATTCAATATTCCAGACATACTTATATACATCTGTAGAAATATTATTCGTGAATTGCTCACCGAAAGTAGCTTTGTTGTGAATTATTGATAATACGGAGGTATGAAGGCATAATAGGACAATAAAAACGACCAGCACCGAGAAATGGTATTACTCAAACTGCCCAGTTTATATATATGGTCATTTCCTGCCGTCATTTAGATTTGTAGCAATATGAGCAGCAGCAAGCATCTTATCTGAAGAACCAATATTTAAGGGGCATGTATTCAAAATTAAAATTTATAACTCTCAACATTTTCGGAAGAATTTTTGGAAGAATTGCATACCGGTATTGCAAGAGCGTTTCAGACCAAAACACATGAATTATACAAACCTGTTTGAAAATTTCCATCTCAAAATTATAATAAAAAAAAAACTAAGAAAATCGGGCTTGTTGGGGTGTAAGTATCCTTGCATTTTAATGAACTATTTTCCTTTTTCAAAGAAAGTCGGAAATCTGAACAGTAATGATAAAAAATATTGAAGATATAATAAAGCAAGGAAAACAAAAACACACAAGCCAGATCTACAGTATTTAGTGTTGTCAGTTTGGTAAGCGTTGTGTGGAGTGTTAGCAATAAGAACAGTATTAAAACGCTAACATCGGTGCCCTTTTTATAAACACATGAACAAGTGAATATAAGAAGTGTGTTTATTTAATTTAACCGATATCACCGTTCACCAAAACATAATCTTGACAATATTGAACACAAAAGGCAATAAATGCAATAAATAAATATCAGATCTTGTACAAAAAATAGCAAAAAATAATTTAAAAGCAAATTATTTTTTAAAGTTGATCGACTCACAAAAACACAAAATATTCGTATTCCCACATGTCTTCTGAGTACTCCGATTTGACACAGTTTTCCAGACCAAATTCCGCTAATCTGCTGTTCACAAAGTTCATCATTTTACCCAGTGTGTCTGTGTTCACGTTTCCTAGCAAGTTGTCTTGTCTCCCAGGAGACAAAAGTTTGATTTGTCTCAGAAATTCAGACTCGCCAGTGAGGTGTGGATTGTTGATAAAGAAGTTGGGAAGGCGGCCATTTTGAAGGGCTCTCTTCAGAAAGTTTACAGCATCAGATACACGATCAGAGAGGCTATCTATTCCCCACTGTTCAGCTTTACTGTCTACTAACATGTAACTCACAATTGTTTCTATCATATATGATGTCACTTCTCCCCTACTTAGCAATGTCTTCTTGGACTGTGGAGCAAACAAAAATTTCAAAATCTGAATAACAATTCTATGACACCCATAGACCCCATTATAATAACATTTCTGATCCACCTTGTTGAGAAATAAATGTTCTAGCTCACCAAAAGACATGCTCCAGAAGACATCGTGAGTTGTGCTGGCTTGTGGTGGGTAGGTGCTGTATCGATCTCTTGGGGTCACTTTGCATTTTAAGTCTATGTTTGACCAAGTGGGAACAGCATAGAGATTCACTGGGTTGATCCACTTGTTTGAACTTAACAGTAGGGAGGGAATCAGCTGGATTCTAATATCAGGGTTATGGAATCCGATGACGTTCCTTGTATCGAGAGACAGGTTTAAGCCAGGGCTAGTGGTCCTCTGAATTCTGAAGGGTAAGCGGTCAATCATTGGTCTTCCCTCTTTGTACAGTTTTTGTAATGCGATGTCAGTCAGTTCACACACGGAGTTGAGGAACTCTTGAGGGGAAATGCACCTTCTATTTTGAAATGGTTTAAGAAGCTTCGATGGGTCCTCTTCAGTGTTTTCACTTTCTGCAACAATTAACACAAGTTTACCAGGTGGGATATCTGAATTTATACTGTGATCAATAAAAGACGACAGTCCAAACTCTGTACATTGGAATACAAAGAAATAGTCACTTTGATTTGCAGCCCCAACCTTTGTGCCTTTCAGCATGCTTCCGGTTGGACAACACTGTATATATCTGATACCATTATATGGCTTCATTGTTTTAAGAACTTTGTCTATAAGGTGAATGGTATATTTAACTATTAAGTTTGACACACAAACCTCCTCAAAGCTGACCATACAGCAATTGAGGTAGAAGTCCATCAATTTTCTACCTTTTCCTTGCAGTGGCCGTTGGACAGATTCTGGGATGTCAATCATCTGAGTACAAGTGCCGTTGTATACTATATTATGTAGGAACTCTCTGTAGGCGAGAGCTTCAGTATCATCCTCGTTGTTCTGTGAGGACAATGTAGGGGAACTGTTCTGCCTTCCGCTGGCTCTAGGTAAGGCTCGGCGTGGTAGACGGACGGAAGAAGTCACCGTACTGTGTAGAGGACCTTCTTGTTGAGGCGGATTCCTTCCTATCAAGAGTTTGTCAAGCTCTTGGAACAGACAATCCACGGTCCGCCTCAGGAATGATGGGAGGTCACAGCTGGGGGTAAATGTATTCCCAGAGTAAGAAGCAGTGTGAGAGAGAGGAATAAATTCCCGTGATGTGGGTTTTGTTGCAGCTGTTTCATTGTATTCATTAGCATCCAAGTCTTCAGAAATGGAATCATCGTCTTTACTAGGCCTAGTTATCTGTTCTGTTAACAATCTCCACGACTTCTTATCAAAGAAATCCAAAATCTTGACGAAAGTTAAGGGCAGCACTAACGTGAAGAAAATTACAAAAATGCACGCAAGAATAAATCCACTATATATGTCCAGCTCTCCTTGGTAGCTTCTGATCAGCGAACATGAGGTATCAACTTTCACTTTCTCGTTATAAAAAATGTTTTTCCTCAACCACGAGGATATCTCTGCCCCGAGACTCCATTCAGAAGCAATATCCTGGGTGTTTTCTGGAGGTTTCGCTGCGTCTTCACATTCCGATAACAGAAGTTTTACACTAAAGCTAAAATACCGTGTGTCATTGAAGAATGGCACAGCCATGTCTGACACATGACCGTGTTGTCAAAATGAAAGTACACTCTCGTGCTTCAAATAGAGTTGTCTTTCTTTTTATGCAGGTGACTTCATTGACTCCAAATGAACTAAAGAGAGAAAATTTTAAATATAAATGAGTTTTAAAACAAGTAATAATACATGTAAATACTTAAATAAATTGCATAAATATTTGTTTCTGTGATACATGTAGGCCAATCCTTTTGCACATGTTTGTGCAAACGTCTATGGTTGAACATATATAACTGCATGTTTTCAGTGTCGACTCATTGAAATAAAAGCCCCAAATCACTGAAATTATCATTTTTAAAGATATAAGTTTCGGTATATAATTAATAATATGTCCATAGGACATGGATGTCCCGTCCAGGGTTCCTCAATAATGAAAATCAGTGAATGAAGTTGGATGAAATACCTTCAAGTTGGATAGTTTCTTTAAACTTGATGATCTCGATATCATTTTAAAAGATATGTGAGGTCAAGGTCAAAGAAAGGCTAAGGTAAAAAAAAAAAGTCGATTCAGTTTAATAGCTCTAGCCAAAATGTATATAAGCATGTAAGATTTGATTAAAATATCCTAAGTTGAAATTGAGATTACCATGTACTTTATATCATGTTAGGTCAAAAAAAAGGTCAAGGTTAAAAGATGTTGAGGCAGTGAAACGGATTTCATCAATATTTATCAGCGTATAAATTTCGATAAAAATATTTTGAAAAGTGTCTTTGAATCTTAGCTAAGCTAATCACAAATTTAAGAAAAATGAAGAAAATTTCAAAAGAAAGGTCAAAGTCAAATATTGAAAGGTCAAGGTCAAACACTATTGATGAAGTAGAATAGTTCTCGTCAATATGTAAAAATATCTTGAACAGTTCCTTTGAATTTTGAGCTGAACACAAATGTAGGAAAAGTAAGGTCAAGGTTAAAGAAATGTTAAGGTCCAAAAATGTTCAGTGATGCACTTTAGTAGCTCTCACCACTGTGTACCAGCGTCTGGGCGTAAAAAGTTTGATAAGACTATTCAAAAAGTTTCTTTGAAACTGTAATTGTACTAGTCGTGAAAAACACGCAGTAAGCAAAAATAACGACCTCCATGCCTAGTACTGAAACTGAAAGCAACGGAAATAATGGGGCGTCTCAGAAGTTTGCACGAAACAAATTTGGCGCGGGTTTTTTTTTCATTTAATTTCAGAATGTCAATATATTTTGCAAATAGAAATCATCGCTCCCGATACCTAGATTAATTTTAGTTTCATAGAAAACTAAGTCATGCAAGTATTCTGCCTTTTTCTGATTGCATTCGGATAAACAAAAAAAAAATAAATACACACTTTAAGCACGTGCATGAGGCTTGACCCAGATTTTGTTATCATAAAGCTGCCCCACAGACAAGGCAGAGTTTCTGAGGACATGGTGATATCGACTGAATGTCAGTGACCGAGACACTCTGACATTATTTGATGATACTTATCTACACACTGTAGTGCCCTATTTACAATTTCTTATGTGTGTGTGTTTGTGTTTGTGAATACTTAGTATCCCCGGAATCTTAATGCAGTCAGGTAAAAATATACATTTATAACTTGTAAGCAAGATTAATTTGTATACATTAAATATATATCGATCCATGGCTATGACTAAAAATCTGCAAATTAATTCAAGTTTAAACTGTAACATAAAAGTTAAACTGTTACATAAAAGCTGATAAAATTTTAAAAGCTTAATTCATAAAGTTCGTTACATTCACTTGTCTAGGGGTCTTGAGATATTTGTTTAAAAAAGACATTGGACCCCCACGTCACCCCCTTAAAAAAGATAATGAGAAGTTATTCATAAGTTGTTTATGAGGAGCCCACCCACTTTCAAAAATAAAGTATAAGCTAGACCACTGGACAAACTTGATAAAAAAGTGGAGTAGGGGATTAAAACTTTTATTGAAATAACGAACAGGCTCAACAGTCCATTTAAAATATACAAATCAGGGACAGAGCGAATATGACCGGACCTCTAAAACATTAGAGGTGGGATCAGGTATCATGAAGGAGTGAAACCCCTTGCCGACCGGTCACACCCGCCAGTAATCTCTGTTGAGATTCTGCTGGGCTAGATATTTGGACTTGACGCTCTGCGGGCGTCAATTCCAAATATCTAGCCCAGCAGAATCTCAACTGAGATTAACCCGCCAGGTGCTCATTATCATGATCAAGAAATAAGGGAATAAACAGTAGACAATTCAGTGTGTAAATAATTGTCTAACATTTAGTATGATTGATTGTATATTGTTTAAAGTCCCTCTCGAGAATTTTTCACTCATATGAAGACGCCACCACTTGCCGGTGAAGAGCTCCAAATTTTGTCCTATACTGTATAATATACTCGGCACTTAGGGCCATTGAGCAGGGAGGGATCTTTTTCGTGCCAGAACCTACTGCAACACGGGACCTCGGTTTATACGGTCTCATTCGAAGGGCCGGTCACCACGTCCCACAGTGGGATTCGAACCCGCGACGTAAGGATCAACTCCTTACTTCGCGGCTTCAGAGCAGACGCTCTGGCCACTGCGCCACGCGGGCGACAACATTTAGTATGAAAAATGTCCATCAGAATATGCATTTGACTTAATTAGAGAGAGTGTAATTGCTGAAAGGGTAATATTGTATCGACCCTAGAACTTATGACTTTAGACGAAACTTTTGATATCCCTGTGTCATCTACTTTTTTGTCAATAACTTACCTCGTTTTGGAAATTGTTCAAATAAACTCCATAATATGAAAGTGATAATTAATATGTATATTGAAAAGTTGAAGTTGTCACGTTTTACAATGAAACACACTAGCTGCAGATCTGTAGCTCACTGGTCGGGAAAAAAAATGGGATGGACGATCAGAGAGCTACAATGCCACCAATAATATATAAGAGTTGCGCTCGGTTCTGAATTAATTTCTTACCCCAACTGCACAAAAGCTTGATTTTCAAAATTTCCTTAGAACGCCTCTATCATCTAGTATAGTTGACATCTGCAAGAAGCACGTTTGATTCCGAATTATCTTGCCACCCAAAATGGCAAAATAAATTTCGAATTTTCAGGCCCAGAGAGAGCTTGAAACAATGGTTATAGGGAATGTTTTGTTGTGGAAAAAGTGAAAGAATATGCTAGAGACACAAAATTAGTACATTGTAATATTTTAGACTGCAGTTTTTTTTTTGTTTTTTTTTATACGCAAAGAATATATATACACTTTTTCAATGGGTGGCACTGTTGCTCTCCGGTCTGACAATTTTTTTTTCCGGAAAGCTGCAGAGCTCTACGTCCACAATAAACGGGAGATAATCACAAAAAAGGTAAATTAAATTAGGGTGGGTGTTTTAAAAAAAAAATCTTCTCAAGAACCATTGACCACAAAAGATAATTGATTACAGACTTCCAGATATAGTGTGAGTTCGGGTAATATTACGGGTTACATTCAAATTACGGCCTTGGGATTTTAGAGGGAAACAACAGGGCAGAGGTCAGGCACGTTGCATCGTTTTTTGAAAGTGGGGGGGGGGGTCCAACCTGGGAAATTTTTTTTTACTTACCTAAAAAAAAGTTTACATGCAAAAAAAAAAATTTATTAGGAAAATTAAAAATTGCCCAACCTCGAAAATCCTATTTCGGGGTGGGGTGGGGGTGTAGTGGCCAACTTTTTTCAAGGCCAACTTCCTTAATTCACTTCCAATTTTTTCCTATATTTCCTTCCTATAAATATACTGTGGTTAAAAGTGGGGGGGGACCATCTTTAAAATGGACATTTTCTATAGTAAAGGTAGTGTTGGGAAAAACAAGAATACAAGAGGCCCATGGGCCACATCGCTCACCTGAGCACTAAGGGTAGGAAAAAGTAGAAAATGGCTTTTTATTGTAGAGTTTAAATCCAAAAGTAGTCCCATGACCAATCGGATTTGTTATTTTTTAGCAAATGATTTTTAAAGAATTTTCCTATATAATATCTTGAAAAAATTTGGTCTGCCATTTTGGCCCCGCCCTACCCCTGGTGGTCATGATTTGAAAAAAAATTGAATCTACACTACCTGAGGATGCTTCCATATAAATATGATGAATTTGGCTTTGTCATTCTTAAGAAGAAGATTTTTTTAAAGAATTTTCCTATATATTTCTATGTTAAACTTTGGTCGGCCATTTTGGCCCCGCCCTAACCCCGGGGGTCATGATTTGAACAAAATTGAATCTACACTACCTGAGCATGCTTCCATATAAATATGATGAATTATGGCTTTGTCATTCTTGAGAAGAAGATTTTAAAAGAATTTTCCTATATATTTCTATGTAAAAATTTGATCGGCCATTTTAGCCCCGCCCTACCCCCGGGGGTCATGATTTGAACAAACTTGAATCCACACTACCTGAGGATACTTCTATATAAATATGATCAATTATGGCTTTGTTATTCTTGAGAAGATTTTAAAAGAATTTTCCAATATATTTCTATGTTAAACTTTGGTCGGCCATTTTGGCCCCACCCTACACCCGGGGGTCATGATTTGAACAAACTTGAATCTACACTACCTGAGCATGCTTCCATATGAATATGATGAATTATGGCTTTGTCAATCTTGAGAAGAAGATTTTTAAAGAATTTTTTATATATTTCTATGTAAAACTTTGGTCGGTCATTTTGGCCCCGCCCTACACCCGGGGGTCATGATTTGAAAAAAAATTTGAATCTACACTACCTGAGGATGCTTCCATATAAATATGATGAATTTGGCTTTGTCATTCTTAAGAAGAAGATTTTTTTAAAGAATTTTCCTATATATTTCTATGTTAAACTTTGGTCGGCCATTTTGGCCCCGCCCTACCCCCGGAGGTCATGATTTGAACAAATTAGAATCTACACTACCTGAGCATGCTTCCCCATCAGTTTCATCTTTCCTGGCACAGTGGTTCTGATTGAAGAAGATTTTTAAGAAACTGTAAATTTAAAAGAAAGTAAAATGAATTTACCACCAAATTTTCATTAATTCCCAAAGCATAAAGAAGTATCTCCCCTTGCAATGAGGGCGTGGCCCTTCATTTGAAAAAGCAAAAATTTCCTGAATCCCCTTCACCCAAGGATACTTTGTGGCAAGTTTGGTTGAAATTGGCCACCCAAAATGGCAAAATAAATTTCTTTTCAGAAGAAGTCGAAAATGTGAAAAGTTTACAGACAGACGGACACAAAATTAGTACATTGTAATATTTTAGACGCAGTTTTTTTTTTTGACAAAGAATATATATACAAAGCTCACTTGAGCTTTCAACTCAGGTGAGCTCTACGTCCACAATAAAGGGGAGGGGGGGGATGTTTAAAAAAAAAATCTTCCCCCCCCCCTTCCAGATATAGTGTGAGTTCGGGTAATAAACATTCAAATGTGCCTGGAGGTGATACAGGTGAGTGTTGTGACCCACCGGGGTCTTCTTTGGAAAGGGGTTTTGATTTGTTTTCTCGATCTCAGCTTGCCGAGAGGCTCTTATTGGATGAACGAAGAACATGAATGGAAGCAGCAATATTTATATGTCGTAGAAAGTTATATTCATTGACACTCGCGCCTGTCATTACCGATGTTGGTATCTGGTTTCTTTCTGGGACATGCTAGCTACTTTATGGAACATTGAATTCATGCATAATTTCATGTGTTTATGTTTAGCGCGTTACGTATGCGATATATTTGTACTAGGGAAACAAAGAAATCACGTGGTTTTAAAGTTACAAAACACATGGCACAGTAAGATGATAGACAAGTATGTATTGGTTAAACGTTGTTAATGGACAGTTGTACACCGACAGGTTCACAAGACAATTCGGTGAGTACCTTATATACGTTATCTTTGATAACACTGGTTAAACGATTGTAAAACATAGACGCTTGACGTTTTTAACCTTTCTTTTCATATAAAAGAGAACTAAATCAGGGAAAGGTTACTGACCAACACTTGAACACGTTGAAGTAAATCTCAACAAACAAATGTCAACAAAGATAAAGTAACGAATAATTGATTCTGTTAAAATTTGTGATTCAGATATTTTTAATGAGGACAGTAAAACTGGTAAGTTGCTGTCGTATAATTTTCCGGGGGGGGGGGGGGGGTTATACCAAGTACATGTAATTAAGTGGAAATATTAAACAACACACATATACCTTGGACACTTTTCAAAGACGTGACACAGAAAATGTTAGGCTTCCTTATCTACAGGAAAAGAATAGTACATTGAACAGAATTAGTATCGGAACTAACAAAAGAATCCTTATCCATTACAGATGTTTCAGTTCACAAATTTTCAAAATCAACGTAATCCAAGAAATTAACACAATTGATCGAGTTCGTATGATTTTGAAGATGTTTTGCCCATTTTCTGTTAGACCATAAATAGATGTAGTAATCAATGCCATTACGAATCCTTTTAAATATCCATTTCCCTGTTAAAGCTACACCAAGTTACCAAGTGCAGTCAGTGCATGACGTGTTTTTAAATATCAATTGTGTAATTTTATGCATTTCGCTCAGCCGTATTTCAGGGTGGATCGTAGTCAAAACATTTTTCCCTTACTCATAAAGTAAACACGCCGAATATGATGAATGTAAAAAAAATATCTTGAAGGTTTTCTAGCAAATATTATCTCTGAGCGCGCCTAAATTAGTAATTACATTTTTTTAACGTTTTATATATTTTTTTAAAAAAAGTTTTATTTCCTTGTTTTGTAGAAAGGAGAAAAGATCCACATTCTCTCATATTTGAAGCCATCTTCAATGGAAATAAGAACGAGGTGCAACAGTTGATTTCGGGAGGAGTGGATAAACATGTCGTCACGCACCATCCTTTGCGGTGGGAGGGCGCCAGCGCGCTTGGCGCTGCAGCGAACGAAGGGCACATGGAAATCGTTAGATATTTGATAGATATTGGGACGTCAGTAAATTTCAGTGACCCCTGTCAGGGGCGGACGCCTCTACACTGGGCTTGTCTTGGCAACCAGTATCAGGTGGCGGCATATCTCATCAAACACGGAGCTGACGTCAACCACGTGGACAAAGAGCAGACGACACCGCTTCTGCGTGCTGCCTTCGCTAGAAACTGCGACATGGTCAAACTTTTGATTGAAAATGGCGCGAATGTCCACCAGGTGGACTTACTCCATTGTTCTGCGCTCCACTACGCTTGTATTCACGGCGATAAAAATTTAACTCGAGCCCTCATTCGAGCTGGTTGCATTTCAAACAATGTTGCCTTGGTTGGAAAAGGTACACCATTACAAACTCTGACGAGTCAAAATGATGCAGACAACGTTTCATTGTTATTAGAGGCAGGGTACAATCTACAGAATGACCAGTGCTGGATTAGGTCATTTTCACAGCCTAGTTCAAGCTCTTTACATGAACATATTCTAAATTGTACCTACGATCCCATGTGTCTAAAACATCTGTGTAGAAAGACAATTAGGAGTCAAATGGATGGTGTTCATGTGGAAATGAAATTGGAACAACTTAAATGTCCATCAATTTTACAAAATTTTCTTACACTTGATATTTTATGATTAAAACTAAACATTTTTTTTTGTTTATTTGGATGGGTGGTTTCTTGCATTGAAAGCTTGAATATCATATACCGTTTTTTTCTGGAATATTTAGCAGGGAGATATTTTGGCTTATTTTACCAGTTTTGAAGCAGTCTGCTAAAATTTTGATCTCTAAGTTGGCTCCCTTGTGTATAAAATTTACATGAAAAAAGTTAACTTTATAACTGTATGTTGTTGAACAATTTATCTCTCATCTGATATTAGGTTTACTCAAACTCTTGTGTGAATCAGCATCTAACGTAGATTAAGCACACCGAAAACTCATCTAAAAGATTAACTTTGAACTTTCTTTCTTATACAAAGTCATCGAACTGTGTGTCTGCCAAAAAAAAAGTTTTGCCAAAATTATTGGCATACCATTCTGCTAGCCAATGCCAAATTTTGTACCTGCTAAAGAAACGCGTTATATTGTATGTCACAGTGTGATGTTTGGTACAAGGACCTTAAAATGTGGTTTTAAAAAAAATTAAAATGCTAAAAAATAAACTTCACAAAAATATAATTCTTAAATCCTTTTAATATGGATAAATGCATCTAACAAGTAAATGATGCCATTTTGTAAAATTAACAAAACTAGTCAGTTAATAATTATTTCAAATTATTTTAGGAAGAGGTATTCATACATGTATTTAGCTTTATGGAAGTGCAAAAAATACATCATTAAAATAAACAATATCATAATCCCCTCAGTATTTTCACTAAAACAGTAACATAAAAACACAAAATTTTGTAAGGGATAACCAATGGTGTCTGTTCAGTTACCTTAATTACCACAAATTCAATAAGAATATGAAAATTGAGCATAACACTGGTGTTTTTGTAAACCCAGAAGATTTTATATGTATGTGTGTGTGCCAACATAAACCTAATGACAAATTAGCATAAAAAACTTTTCCCCATTTCCCTCACTCACAGTCTTTTCTTATACAGTTATTTTTTTTTCCTTGAATCAATCATCACAAAAAATCTCGCTTATTTTCACAGTCATTTTTTCCTCCATTGTCGTCTTTATAAAATCTTTCTCACTGGATCTGAAGCAATAAATAAACACCAGGATGCCCTCATGCTAGTCCGGTGGCTTGGATGGGCCTCTGAATCGGTTCCTCTATGTTCTCCCGTCGTATGTAGGTGGGTGGTTCCTTTTTGTTTACGGTGTCTGCAGTAATGATGACCTTCTCCACATCAGGCATACTGGGTACCTCATACATAGGGGTCAACAACACCTCCTCCTTTTGAATAGAAATGAGTTGGTGAGAAAAATAGAAGGAATTTATTTTATAGAAAAATTAATCCAAATAACAGATGCTTAGGTTAAGATGATGTACATACATGTAACTTGAGTTTATTTTTGCTGATATACAGTTAAACCTGTTTAGTACAAACACAAATCAGTAAAGTTACAGATATATAGTGAAGTTTTTTAGATGCCCACTGCCCAGGCAAACTTTTTTACAATCATTGTAAAATTTTTCAGTGAGGCCAAAAGAAATCAATCTTAAGTTTCTCAGGTCAAAATTTCTCGATTCAATGAGGCAAGCAAGTCTCTTTTTATGAGACGGTAATCACCTTTTTGTGTGTCAACTAAATGATGACATCAACTATATTTTACCTTTTTATATTCTCATATTCATAATATTTTTATTCATAACATTCTTTTTTTAAAAGTTAATTCTATATATATATATAAACGTTCTGTTTTTCACAAAAATACTGTATCTAAGAGTAAAGGGGCATAACTCTTATACATGTACATTGTAATGAATTCTTACACATGTATATCAACTTTATGGATTAAGAGAGTATTTCTGTATCCCTTACAGGTACCTTAGTATTTATATTTCAAATTGAATCTATCAAAAAATGTAAGTGCTCTTAAGTAAGATTTTTATTTTATACTTTCTAAAACATATTCGTATTCATACTTGAAGGAAAACTATACAGTAAAACTTGTTTACTATGAACACAGATATTGCGAATTCACGGATATAGCGAAGTAATCTTGGATCCCCAGCTAAATATACGGATACAACGAAGAACAGATATAGCGAAATAGGGCCCAGTGACTTTGTTATAACTGAGTTTTACCCGGTACTGTGTATGTATATTGTGAATTGGCTACATATTAAATGGATTTAGGGAATTGAATAAAATTCACAGATTCCTCTGACTTTAGGTTAACTGAGTTTAGTGTAAGTAGTTTAAGGAAACTAACCAGTATGTGATGAATGCCTCTGGCTCCTGTTTTCTTCTTTATGGCTTTTTGTGCTATGGCTCTTAGAGCACTATCTGTAAAAATCAGCTGGCACTGAAAAAAATAAGAAATCCATCAAAATAGGCTCTTTGAAATACAATTAGCTCAGCACCATGGAAATATAATTAGCTCAGCACCATGGAAATACCATTAGATCAACACCAGGGAAATACCATTAGATCAACACCAGGGAAATACCTTTAGATCAACACCTGGGAAATACCTTTAGCTCAGCACAATAGAAATATAATTAGCTCAACACTATGAAAATCTATTAGCTTATCATTCACTTCACTAATACTAAAACTTGCTGCCAGGCAGTCATATCTTCAAAAGTTATTGTAAATTTAATGAGATTACATGTAATATAACTGTAATACCTCATCATAAGACAACAGGAATTCCTTCTGTGCTATAAGAGAGTTTTTAGTTTCTGTTAAGATTTTCACTAGGTGATCCTCATTAAGACTGTGTAAGGATACCACTATGTGGAACCGGCCCACAAATTCGGGAATCAGTCCAAACTTGACCACATCACTGGTCTCCACCTCACTCAGAAGTCTATCATACTTCAGGTTTAACTGTTCTATGTCAGAGAGTTTTCTCTCCTCCTCTTCCATCAGAATAGATTTATCATCATGATTACCAAAGCCAAAACTCTGAAACAAAAACAAAAATAGAAGTTAAAGGCTTCTCTATGTTACAAAATGTACAACTTGGGTAATATGTAAAACATATGTTTGGGGGAAAATCCAGGTCATTCAAGTAAAACAAAAAGCCAATGGTCAACAATGCCTACAAGTGTCAAAGCCATATGGATAAATCCAAAACAACATATACAGTCATAAAACCACATATACATATAATTCACTGAAACGAAACAACAAACAATTAAGCCCCTTGTGGTGGTGGTATTCATCTCTGGCTCAAGATTTCAACCCACTCTGAATCTCGATATTTGGAGATTCTTCTTCCCATTGATCACACTGCTCTCACCTTTTGATTGGTTCTGCCATGTATAATTTCTGAGATACCAGTAAATGCCCCTGAGGCTATAAATAGAATGTTAGTGGTGTCCACTTGGTAGGTGGTCTCATGTGCATTTCTCTTCCCCATTTTATCAGTGACACTGACGACGTTAGATTCCAGGAGTTTGAGGAAAGCTTGTTGTACACCCTCTCCACCTACATCTCGGGAGGAGTTAATGCCCCTTGAGGAATTTCCAGGCACAATGCTTCTGATCTTGTCCACTTCATCAAGATACACAATACCTACAAGATGTTGTATTATTTTTTAATTACTGTATAATATCCATCTAAAATATGAACTGCAAAAATTGAATACAAGCAGTTTCATCTGGAGTACATTACACATTATTCAAGTTCTAATCTACTTTATCATACCTAGTTTTATGATTAATCATGGCTTTGGAGTTCTTTAGGAAAAGTTTTTTTTCATTTTTTTTATCCTTTGTAAATTTTTTATCACAACTGCAGCCCACCCTGCCCCTGTGGGCCATCATTTGAAGAAACTTAAAAATTCAAACTAGGACAGGAAGTTTTCATACATTTCAGTCCCATATTTTTGAGTGACTTACATGACCTAAAAACTCAAATATTTCTTTTAATTCATTATTGCCAGGAATGTTTGTTGACATTGCATTAAGAACTCTTTCATCATTAAAAGTCAGTTTAACCTTGTTGACATTTTTCAACATCGAAGTCTGCATTCTCCAGTAGTCTGTAGATGACGGACTCCACATCTTCTCCGACGTAACCAGCAGCCGTGATAGACGTACAATCACACATCGCAAACGGAACGTCCAGACACTCTGCCAACTTCTTCACCAATAAAGTTTTCCCTAAAAACAAAAGATATAAAAGATTATCAAGCTCATCTAGATTTATTTTCTATAAGTTATGGAAGTCTCAAACTAAAATTTTTTAATGTTGTTGTATTGTGCATCCCTAGATTCAAAATCCAAGCAAGTTTAGTCTTGGTTGAATCTCTATGACAAATAGTCCTGCTCAAAAACTTAACATGCAATCATCTAGAAAATGTAGATCAGTTGCAGCATCTTAAGCAGATCTGAGAATATGTGAACCTAGATGCATCATCCATTACGTATGGTCACTACTTATACTTGGGAATGGACTTGCTTAGAGCTTACAAACTTTAACCTTATACTGTATGTATGGCATCAGCTCATCTTGAATTTGAAAGATTTTGAAATATAAAGACATGCCCATTTAATCATTGCCCTAAAGTAGCAAGCAGAGACAAATCCATAAAATTTAATTTTTTACTTCAATATATATAAAAAAGATGAGTCTGGGCGTACAAAGATTTATTTGCAATGCACAGTGAATAGCTCAACTTAAAGTAGAATAAAAACACAAAGAACATACATGTGAATGTACATGTAACCTCCCATATGTGCTAAATTATACAAGTATACAGACTGCAGTAATACTACTGGTGGGGGTGGGTGGGTTTTGCGAATAGCACAAGTAGCTCGTAGTTATCAATTGCTCAAAGGCGCACTAAAAGAGGCGCTCAAGTTAACATAATGACGTAACAGCATAACATAACTGCCTGAGTAAAAAAAGGCGGAAAAACTATTTCCGTAAACCTCATTCATTTACAAGAATTAACATTAGTAAATTCATTTCAATGAATATTTTGATTTGTTTTCCATTTTCCATTGTTTTCCATTTTCCTATAAAACCAACCTTTCTATACAAGTCATATAAATGTCTCTCTGCAAATGCATATATTTTACAAAAAAAAAAAAAAATAATAAAAAATAAAGCAAAAAATTAACAGCAGTCAAAACTATAGAAATTGTCACTAATTACCTGAGCCAGTGGGTCCTAGCATTAAGACATTACTTTTCTGTAATGTAATTGGTTTAGAGTCTGTCTCTGGGGATAACATTGGGGGGTCACTCTCCTCTTCTTGGTGAGAATTGAACCCCAGGGCACTGGAGGAATGGCCTCTGATGGCTGCCTCCAAGGACTCTGAGAAAAAATAAACAATAAAACACATACATTCATTATTTGCACTATACTCAATGAAATAAATACATATTAATAAATAATGACAACTGATCATCCACAGAATTCATTTTTTCAGATCTTCCTTTCATATTTACAGATCATCTGACTGACAATTATATACATTACACACTTACAAGTATTACATATTACTTTTAAGGATAATGAAATCAGAAGTTTTATATCAACTTTACCTGCAAAGAGATTTTCACCGAGTTTGGCTTTTGGTTGAGATGTCTGACTGCTAGTTTTACACCAGCGGACCCTCTTATAGTGGTTATAGGAAGCTACAGAAAGGCTCTTCTTAGCCAGTTCCTGACCGATTACATGTTCATCCAGAAATCTATGGATCTATGAAAACAATCATGAAAGTTAAAAGATGGTGAACACTTTCAAAGACTTCATTTATTAGATAATAAAGACAACTTTGAATTTGATCTGACATTGCATTATTTGCCCTGGAAAATAAGTTAATTAACTGCAAAGACATTTTCACCGAGTTTGGCTTTTGGTTGAAATGTCTAGCTGATAGTTTTACACTACCAAAGATCAATCCAAATAATGGTTAAGAAAAGAATAAGTTAAATTTAGTCTTGCTCCACTTGCTGTTTTCATTTATCAGTGAGTAAAGCATTCATAGAATGATTTTTTTGCTAAGTTTCTCAACAATTATGGTTGACATCTGTACTAAATGAAGGGCTTCTTTTTAATGAACCTTACCTCTTTAGGGGTTGGTATACTGCTCTTGTCCTCTTCTTCTGTTCTGATAAACTCTTGGTCAACTTGTTCCTCCGATACCATGATCATCTGTTTACAGTTGTCACATTTCACAAATCCATTAATCATCACTAAAGAAACAAATAAATATAAACACATCAAACTGTAATATAAAGGTTGTCTATAAAGTTTGTGGACAAATGCTATAATTTTCTCAATAACTGTACTTGCAAATGTGTACGATCATAATGTCATTAATCAGGCACCTTATTTTTTTAAAAAAAGAAATTCACAAACAACAGTTATACATATTCTTAAGGAAAGTTTTCCAAGTGAGTAACTCATTCTACCTTTACATGTGGACAGCTTTTAAAAAATATAAATATATGCTATTACTGGAACTCGTGGAGTATTGAAACTCAAGTTGAGTACACTCCACAAAGGGAAGAAGCCAGAAGAAGAAGAAATTAGTCGATTCTTCATCATAATCATGATAAATTAAAAAGTTTTCTTCTGATGAGCATGATGAGAAGTACAGAAATGCTTTTGACGCATCATATTATGTCTCATGGATACACCACAGCCAAAATAAATAAGAGAATAGAGCATTCATCAAATCAAACGTATAATCAAATTTATGGATATGTAAACATTCAAATGATGTTTTCATAGAAGAACTTACCACTGGAATCAATATTGAGGGCACCTCCACAATTTGAACAAGGCCTGACTCTACGTTCCTCTCCCCCGAAACTACTGCCCCCTTGATCTGGCCCCCCTGTCTCCCCTCCATTTCCATTCTCTCTTCCTCCCTTGGACTCCAGAGATGAGGTCACATGAAAAGGTCTGTATTTTTGACACTGCCCAAGTTGACTAAGAACCTTCTTTTTGTTTTGATTTCTAACTCCACCTATAAAGGAGATAAGCACAGTTTGAATACTGAAGGAACATTGTTTAATATATATATATATAAAGCACTACACCAAGGGAAGCTTGGTATGATGTTAACCGTATAGTTAAAGCGATGACGGATAACACAGTACACTTTAAATCCTTATTGGCATTTATATGAAAAGCATAGATCATGTTGACAATTTATTTCTATTGTATAACAACTTATAATTACACAATTCACAAATTTTGACAGGATTCGTGATATTATATAATTTTATTATATAATACACACCAGTAAATTGATCCATTGAAATAAAAAGGATGAATCAGCGCTGATATACTCATTTTTTCTTCAATTTTTTAACTTCATAACATAACAAGCATAACTTGAACCAATATGATCCCAAACTAGGACATACCTGCAGCAGTGGCCAGTGATCTGCGCGATTTCCCGGATAGACTTCGAACACTAATTCTGATCCCACATCTTACCGCTAGCGACATAATTCAATACCAAATGATGATATTGGCTTCAATTCTAACATTTACGAGTCCCTACAACCTCAAAACAAATCTAGTGTTACACAACAATGTAATCATGTACAACGAACGTGTCACTGGACTTTTGCTTCCTGTAAATTCAATTCCACTGCACCAGCCCAAAGAATAGCAGATATATATTGAATCTAAAATATCGAAATATACTCTTTAAATATTTGAAATATTGCAGGTATCGTAGTAAATCAAAATATAAACAGTAAATGTCAAGGCCTATCACTGTAATCCTGACCGACTTTCCGTTCTGTAATCACAATCATTGTCATTGAGGTGCTTGAAAATGTTATCCGATCCCGATCGAAATAAAAATAATTGATAAAATAATTTTTAAAACTATACCTTGGTAATACTTTGGTGAAATAAGATATATTGCGACTACATTTTAAAATTTTTCAAAGATAAATGAAGAAAATAAGATAAATATATTGGAGTTTTTTTCTTTTATTGCACACAAAAATATATACCCATGCAGATTGTCTAAGTCTCTCAAAAATTATATTTTACATGTTCTTTACCCCTTCTTCAAAATAAATGGAATACTAGTATATGTATAAGGAATTTTCTACATAATTAATTTTATAAAAGCTGCAAAATACAAGTAAGTGTATTAATGGCAGTGCCGTAATAAATCACCATGCTAGGTACCAGGATGCAGCGGACCAGACCGGGATTCGAACCAGGGCCCCCTGAAACACCCGGTCTGGTCCGCTGCATTTTCTCCTCTCCCGTTACACATGTACATGTGCTTTTATAAGGTAATAAGTTATTTAATATCAGTTCTGTCAATAATCCAAAACATTTTTCCTTTGCATGCATGGTGCTATAAATACATCAAAGTGCAAGTTCTGTTTCATTTGGCCGAGTTTACTTTGGACAATATAGAACATTTTAATAAGCTGTTCTCAGCAGCTTAGGAAAATTATTTTGGTCTATTGACTGATCAAACATTCAACGGCTGTAAAATACCATTAGCTCATACATTTGTCCTGTCTGATAGAATGATATCTCTGCAATGGATATTGATATAATGTACCAGGAAGGGAGAAAATTGCAATAAACTAGACCAGGATTTAAACAGGATGCCCCCTGAATCTCCAGTCAGGTGCTCTATAATCTGGTGATATTTAAAATCTGTCCTCATCAGGTGTTACTTCCACAGCAAATGGCAGGGCATGAAAGGTAAAAAATGTGATGACCAGATTGTGTCTGACTGTCACAATAGTAACAAAGAAGAAATGCTAAGAAACACAAATGCCACATGTGTGGGAATTTTCTTTTTAAAAAAAAGGAACAACTTGATTAGATCTCAATATCAGTAGGAGTAACAAAATATTCATTCTAGAAAGGAACAAATCGTGTCTGTAAAGCAAATGGTTCTAGACAAACTGAGATGACAGTATCCTCCTTTGTCTAAAGTGTCTATGTGATTGACCTTAAAGATCAATAATAGTCATCTCCAGAGAGGACCCAATATTGAGACACTTTGACTATTGATCTTGAAACCTCAAAATCAATAGGGCTCATCTACTCCTTAATACTGTATACAGGGAAATTTTCGCCCCAGTTTTATTTTCGCCCTCTCCTTGATTGTGCAAATTTAAAACGGGGCGAATTCAAATTACACCTCATAATTTCTTAAGGGTGCTGGATGCAGAACTATGACTGGGCGAATTTAAAATGGGGCAAAATTGTTCACAAGTTCAAAAGGGCGAAACTAACACGGGGTGAAAATAAACCTGTATACAGTATATATTCTTTAGAAATAAAAAAAACATGTTCCATTGATAACATTTATTAATGAATGTTTCAAAGAAATGAATAATATGTAATGGATACTGTCTGTTTAAACTGCAAAATGAACCAGACATTGCTTAATTTGTTGTAAGACTTTGTGAGTTGCTATATCAATCTACAGTCAGCAGTATACATGTTTTGGGTATGCATTCAGTGAAAATAAAAAAAAAAAACATTCTTATCAATCCTTTTCGAATCAAATTCTCTGAAAATTTAAAATAAAGATAACACCTAAAATTATTTTTTTAAGACTTCTAAACTCCATAGATTAGACTGACAGAAGCTTAAATAGTAGCTAGTTCCTCTCATTGCAAATTTAAGTTAACATCATACTTCTGCTCTATTACACATGCTTACATTATAATTTACACTCACTTTTACATCAAGCTTACTTTTTTACTTCTAATCAATAAATTTAGCTGTAACATTTCACTTAAATTGTTACATATACCATTATACCTTGTACATGGTATTACATGTATAAACATACAGCTAAACACTACACAAAGAGTTTATCTTCTGCCATTGCACCCATACATGTAGCTTTATATAATTATAATCACTACACTTTCATAATTATATACATCACTGCTTAACAAATCTCATCCAACTTTTATCACAAATATTTTTATGTCATGTTCCTGTGACTAGTACATAAAAAAGTCTGGATCTTATAAATTGTGAGTCAGGTTTCAGAGCTTAAAATTTCTCACATACATGTATGTTGCAGGTATATATACCTGTGATTTGTGGGTTACAAGTACATGTATCTGCAAGTGTTTTGAAAGTTCTGACATGATCTTTAAGAGATTGAGGGTTGGTGGAAGTTCATTTAACACTTCTGTGATATCTACATGTAGTTCACAACTTGTAACATTTTAATATTGCACAGATTTTCTTTCAAAGGCTGTAAACCTTTTAATCAAGTCTTTTGTTCAAGTTTTTCTTTCCTTTTCTTCTTTCTTTCTAGATTTTTTTCCTTGATGTATTTCTGTTTCTTTCTGGCCTCTTCATCTGGATCCTGTAATGTTTCATATACATTGTACATGTTTTTGTTTACATAATCAAGAATAACAGGTAGTGTCCATATAAAAACTAACTTTAAGCAGACTGGGCAGTTTTTCCCTCTTGGCAGGGGGCACGAGATTCAAAAGATCAGTGATGAAATCAATTAAAAGTAAAAATCTAACATCAAATGCTAATACATTATGTAGGAGTATTAGACAATATGATACAAGGTGTCTAAATCCCACTTCTGCTTGGGAGAGGCTGCTCTTTTACAGAAATTAAAGACAATGTTGATATTTTTGGTACATATTAGATATTATTAGTGGTTAAAAATTAACAAAGTTTTATTTTCAAAAGTCAGTCAATTCAGGAATTGATGTGACCTGATTTTTCTTAAGAAAGTATGAATTGTAATGACTTAGCATATTTTAACAGACATATATGAACATTAAATGTCTTCCTTTGATTGTGAGTATGGGAATTAAGGTTATAGTTATTGCAAAAAAAACTAGAACTGTCCAAACGGGACAAAATACCCCCCGCTGGGTTTTTCAGAGGTGCATACTCTCATGAATACTTTATGGATCTAAGAGAAGAGAGAAATGCATTTTTAGTGCAAATGTAATTGCTTATTATATTTTTTATAAATGAAAAAAAAATAGACTAAATATACGGACCGGACACAATTTATGAACTTTTGCTGTCAGTGACCTTGAACTTGCATAAATGACCTTGGTTCAAAGTCATGACACAACCTCAGGTCATAAGCAATGTTTGTGTGAAGTAGTAGATTCAAGTTTTTCCATAATAAAGAAAGATATGGACCGGACACAATTTATGAAATTTTTCTTCCAGTTACCTTGAACTTCCCCAAATGACCTTGACTCAAGGTCATGACACATCCTTAGGTCATGAACAATCTTTGTGTGAAATGAGAACTTACCAAGTTTATCCATAAGAAAGATATGGACCAGACACGAATTATGAAATTTTTCTTCCAGTGACCTTGAACTTCCCCAAATGACCTTGGGTCAAGGTCATGACACACCTTTAGGTCATGAGCAATCTTTGTGTCAAATTAGAACCTACCAAGTTTATCCATAAGAAAGATATGGACCGGACACAAATTATGAAATTTTTCTTCCAGTGACCTTGAACTTCCCCAAATGACTTGGGTCAAGGTCATGACAAACCTTTAGGTCATAAGTAATCTTTGTGTGAAATTAGAACCTACCAAGTTTATCCATAAGAAAGATATGGACCGGACAAAAATTATGAAATTGTTCTTCCAATGACCTTGAACTTCCCCAAATGACCTTGGGTCAAGGTCATGACACACCCTTAGGTCATGGGCAATCTTTGTGTGGAGTAGTAGATTCTAATGTTCCTCCGTAAGAAAGATATGGACCGGACACGTTTGCACAGACAGACGGACGGAAAGATGGACAAGGTGATTCCTATATATCCCCCCAAACTTCGTTTGCGGGGGGTATAAAAAAAAAAATACACAACCCACTTATGCAGTTTCTGTACTTTTTTCAGTATGAGCTGCAACATAAATTCCCACACTAACAACATTTTATAATTTTATTAAAAATTTTACAGTGTTTTGTGATTAAAACATTTTTATACAGAGTTATCCTTTTTGCTAGATAATGTATACTGAAAGGAAAAAGAAACGCAGGGTAGCATAATATTCGAAATTTTTTTGACCGCATGACCGAAAATTGGTCAGATGAGAATGTTAGTTACTATGCACCAAAATGAATTTTCAGAATTACTCAACCGTAAAATGTATGACGTCACGTAGGGAAAACGCTAAAAAGCACAAATCACGTGCAATTTGATGACGACAAATTTGTCAACAAATCTTGTTGCACCATTTAATGCACCTGAGATATACACATCGTTTTTCAATATTTAGAGACGATTCGAATTTCTTGCAATATTGTTACAGTTTTCGGAATTCCATGGGGTTCGGTTTTCGAATTTCCCAATTAATGAAAATGGCAAAAACAGCTAACTAAACATTTTGTTGTAAAATTTCCCCCATAAAACTTGTTACCCGTTGTCAGAGAGGGCCTGGAATGGTTTCCAATCAACCGAGACGATGACGTTAGTTAACACGAAACAGAGTAATGCTACGAGCAGGTTATTAGTCCTACCATCTCTTATATCCATATCGCCACCTTACTACCACAAAACCCGCCATTTATAAAGTAGACTATTGTAATCATTACATTCGCATGAAAAATGAAAGAAAACAATTCCGCAATTTGGTTGGTGCATACAAATAAACTGGAAATTCACCTATCCGTGAAAGTGTCAGAAGAGAAGAAAAATACAAAAAAATACAAAAATTACAACCTGTGGAAATAGTCCCCAATCGAGTATTTGGGTTTTTGAATTTACTTATGCATTTCTAAATATAATGC